AACTTCCAGAAATGAGTCACCTTAAAGAGGCCACGCAATCCAAAACCAGTACAGAGTTAATCTCAGCAGTATCACCTGGCCTTGTCAGGCTCACAAAGGCCCAACCAATACTGCGAGTGGCAAATGTGTAGTGGTCCAGATAGCCTCAAGTCTCCACGCAGTTAAAAGCTAAGCAACCCCTCAATTTCTAGAACAGCAGCGTGCAGGTGCAAGTCAAAGTTAGTTCTCCACTACCGACCCTTTACAGTACCGTGACCATGCTCGTGATGATGACCCTACGGACTTCAATGTGAATTGACTTAATTTGTTGTTTCTGTAGTTTTCTTTCTATTCTTTGAATAACTCAAAAACAATCCATAACTCAAAAGTCCTGGGGGTGGGGGTGAAGACAACAAAAGCAGCCTTACTTTCTCAGTCTTGTAAAGAGTTAAAACGAGCCCACAGTGCTAAACCTGGACTATACTGGGCCACACACTTCCAAACACCACAAAGAATTGGACTCACTTGTAGGTCCAGGCACCACCAGCGACAGTTTTCATGCAGGAGCCACAGTGCCAGATCCCCACCGCTCGCCTCTTCATCTTGGTCTGTAAAAGACAACCAATTTTCTGTGGATCAAATGCACCCAGGAGTCTGACTTTCACCAGGAAACGAAAATTTGGCATCATCTTTATGCCAAAGATGCCATAACTTTATGAAGTTATGTTTCTAATATGCCTAAGTTCCTTAACGCACAATTTGCACCCATCATGGTGATACTGCCAAAGATATGAAGACCCTCTCCCACCCTAAACAACAAAATCAAGGACTACGGTAATCAAGTCCTGTAGACATACAGATATTACATGAAAAACTCCAGCAGACAGAACCGACAGAATCATTTCTACAATGGAGGTTTGACTTAGGCTGGGACTCCGAACTAATTTCTTAACCCTTTAGTCCCAAGTGGTTTTCTGCGAGTGAAAAACGTTTCACCAAACCTAAAGTATGCAACAATTCTCCATCACCTTATAACTGACCATCATGATGCGCACGGCTCCAACCGAGCAACAGCTCGGAATCAGCAGAGTTTATAATCTTGGAGACGCCCGGAAGGACCCCTGCGTTCCCTCCCCCCCCCCCCCCACGCCCCGAGCCCATTCTCACTTTGCCACAGAAGGAGCAAGTGTACTTGGCGTGCTGGCTGATCTCAATTTTCTTCACCATCTTCCTGAGGGAGGCGCCATAACGGGTGCCGTATTTACCGACGATTCCGACTTTCTTGGTGCGTTTAGCCTGATTAGAACGAACCAGCGTTATCAGGACCCTGAAAGACAGAGCTTGCCCCACTGCCCCAAGTCCCAGGGCCTCCGTAACCACTCCTCCACTCACCCAGCCCCTGCCTGTGCCCTACCTGCCCCCACTCCACCCCAGAGCAACCATGGGCCAGGACCACTCGGTGTTCTGAGAACTCCCTCCTAACCCAGCCCGAGTGGTCTGGGCCCAGACCAGCCGCTCCACTCCGCTCCTCTGCTGCAGTCTGCGTCCAAAAGGAGCGGCGAAGGCATGGAGGCCGAAGACGCAGGACAGGGTTAGCCAGCAGAGGTGAATTAGAACGAAAAAAACCACAAGAAGGACAGATGCAGATGGATAAACAATCTAGGCCTCAGCGAGACCGACACTCACCATTTTGACGCAAAGGAGGTCGGACCCGAAGAGGAAGCGGCGCTCTGCGCAAGCGCGGTTTTAGAAAAACGAACGGAAGTGGTGCGTATGAGGCCCAGCTAGGCTCTGAACTCTATGGTCCGGTGGTTTCTTCGATCGCGAGGCCGGCTGGGTTGTGTGGCGGGGAGTCTGTCCTCCAGGTGTACTGTGATTAACAAATCGTAGCAACAGAGTATAGTGCTTAAATCTTATGACTCCAAATCGTATTTTTTCCCCCTACATCATATCTTTTAAAAGCGGCAGGACCTGTGCAGGAAAACCGGCACAATGGTAACTAAACACCAAAGCTCCACTCCAATGCACCATACTACCATAAGATGTTAAGAGTCTATTTGAAAAACACAATAACCCAAGGTCACTGCAAGTCAGTTCCGTGAGGCAAGGCCTATGTGTCTGCCTCTGCATCGCAGGACTGTGCAGAGAGCCTTGCACGTCTGTTTTAATGGATGCTTGTTGAAAGTGGAAATGGTATCTTGAGTTGTGTGATGGTGAGATGGGTGTGTAAAGGGTTTGTCTGGGTCAATCCACTTCTGCCAGAACTAAAAAAGGCTGTACCAGGGGTGTCCAGCCTTTTGGCGTCTCTGAGCCACACTGGAAGAAGAGTTGTCTTGGGCCAGATGTTAAATACACAAACACTTCTAAAAGCTGATGAGGGGGGAAAAAAGGTTTTAAGTAAATTTACAATTTTGTTGGGTAGCATTCGTAGCCATCCTGAGTGGCATGCAGCTGTGCGGACCCCAGGTTGAACACCTGTATGAGATAATTAACTCATACTGGAAACCGAGGCCCCCAGGGAGGTCAGATGACTTGCTCAATATCATACAGCTAATAAATGACTTCCAGACAAGTGCTCTTTCAACCACATCACACAATGCAAGCTGTTTCTTCAGCTGCAAAGTGAGGATTTCATTCCATACCCCTTGTTGGGTCCTTTGGAGGATGAAATAACTGTGATGAAGTGCCAAGTGGGCATTTCTAAGTGATGGTTGTTATTATTAAGATGATGATAAGACCTGATTTCATTATCTCTTGGTGCCTTTTCCTCTTCTGCCACACCCAGGGGACTAAGATCTGCCTCCTGGTTTCCCTTAAAAATATGCCCATCACTTTTCCCCTTAATCTCTTTAAGGGGAACAAAATGAACCTATTACAGTCACAGTTATTGCTATCTGAGGGTCCCCCAAGGGAGTGGGATGTGCTCAAGTTCTCTCAGTTGCATCACAGTCTTCATTGACCCTTTTCTGCTTTAGGGTGAAGAATAGCAAAGGGCCCAAGGAGCAAGTCTCACCTTCCCCAGTAGAGGAACACATTGCACTTAGGGAATATTTGAAAACCTTTCCACCCAAATTATGCCATGCTCCCAGAAAAACTATACATTAAAACAAAAATGTATACACATGGGTGCAAAAATGGGCTAGTAGAAGTTGTGTTAAAATACAAACACTCTAATGCTCCAGTCTGTGCCCCCAAGGCCAAGCAGTGGAGTTCACTCGCTCTGGTCAGTGGGGGAGCCTAGCCAGCCTCACACTAGGGCAGCCCAAGTGGAGGGGCACTCTCCTGGGCTGGCTCTCGAGTTTAGTTCAGATCACCATTTAGAACATGTACCACCTCCCCACACCCATCCTCTGCAAGAGTAAGAATGCAGTAGAGTGGCTGAAAATGTAATAGTTTATAATGGGAGGAAACTGTTCACGTTCAGGGAGATTTTGCCAAAACTAAACAATTCTCTTTAAATAGCATTTTTTTGTTTGTTGCATTTTTACCTTTCTTTAAATGATAAAGCATAATATGTGGAAAATGTTGCACATTTTCTTCCATCTTTGATAATAAAATAGCTACACAAAAATTCACCAATTTGGTAAGTTTTGTTTTTTTAATGCATGCTGACATGACAACTGTCACAATACAATCTAACAAAATTGTTTTGAGTAGAGATAAAGACAACTAAACACTACTGGAGCCATCTTATGGAAAAAAAAAACAAACTTTGGAAAAAACCAAATGAACTTCTTGGCCAACCCAATATTTTATCCCCCCAAAGGTGGATTAAAAACAGAGGAAGAGTATCTGGTACTCAGTGAACTCTATTCAATGGACTGGAGGTGGAGTGGTGAGTGTGAGCAGGTACCGCAAAATCACATAACTGTTGGCCGTTGTAATTCCCAAAAGACTGTGACTCACAGGCTTCTCAGTGCTTTCTGCTATGATCAGGAGTCCGTTTCCTTCACAGAGCCCCCACAGGAAAACCCAAGACCAAAGGAAACACGTGCATGAGACTGCTCCAGTGAAAGCCCTTGAAGCTTCCCAGTCATTTTTTTAAAATGTTTTATTTATTTATCTTTAGAGAGGAAGGGAGGGAGAGAAACACCAATGTGTGGTTACCTCTAGTACACCCCCAGCTGGGGACCCAGCCAGCAACCCAGGCATGTGCCCTGAGCAGGAATCCAACCAGCAACCCCCTGGTTTGCAGGTAGGCACTCAATCCACTGAGCCACACCAGCCAAGGCCCTGGCCAATTTTTTTTACCTTGTAATCCTGAACTTGGTAAGAAGTGAGAAGGTGGGGTAAAAAATATTAGACTTTCTGCCCTCGTTTCAGTTTTTTCGCCTAAAAAGAGCTTCATAAAGCATCAAGGTTCCAGTAGACAAGAATGCAGATGAGGTAAAATCCAAAGCCAGAGGCGAGAAGACGGCACCTCCAGCTCTGACTCCCAGCTCAATGTGTGACCTAGAAAAAGGCTTGTGCAAAGCTAAGAAGGGAAAGACGTGATCAATTCAAGCACCAGCGGATCAAGGCTAACAGCATCTTCCTGCCACCACGCCCTGGAGGCAGATGTTAACCAGTGTCACTCAGGGAATAAGACTCCGCTTAAAAGCCCCTGTGAGGAGGCAGAGATGGTGCCAGTGGACCTGGGGGACACCTTTAGTAAACACTTTAATGGGACAATTGACGGCCGTGACAGAAGGGGAATGAGATGGGCCCACTGTTTCTTCATTCCAGCTGACATTTCTAGAAAACACCATGGCTGTTGGGGTGGGTGTGTCTGGGTTGAGCTGCGAAGTGCAAAAAAAAGGAGTTAGTGCAAAAATTCTTTCTTAAACCCAAAGGTGTTCGGTCTCTGTATAAATAAATCCAAGTGTCTTTTACAAAATCACACAGAAATGATCGGATGGCTGCCAATAAATTTCAGAGGTACGTTTCTGGTGGGGTACCTGCAAACATGTAGGACTACATGGTATAAATAAATTGGCTTTGGAGGACCTCAGGGACAAGAAGAAGACAGGTAGGCAGAGAAAGAAAATTTTAGTGGTTTTATGTTTAAACGACAGTATTTTGAACCTAGTGGGTTAAATAAAATATTGACTTGATCCCTCTTTATTTTCTGAAATACTCTTAGAGAATGAAACTCACATTCGTGGCTTATGTTACACTGGACGGTGCTGCACTGGACCAGGGGTGGGCAAACTACAGTCTGTAGGCCAAACCCTGTCCGCTACCCACTCTGCAGGGCCTGTGAGCTCCGTACAGTTTTTACATGTTTATGTGACTGAAAATAAGTCTGGGTGGGGGAAAGTGGCGATGGGAAAATGGAGACAACGGTATTTGAACAATTAAAAAATGATAAAAATAAAAATAAAAAAGAGTAATAATTTGTGACACATGAAAATCAAATTTCAGGGCCCAGAGTTTTATTGGAAAAGAGCTGTAATCACTTGTTTCTGGGTTGTCTATGGTTATTTTGCAGTACAGAGGCAGAGCTGAGTTGTTCCAATGGAGATGTCTTGGCCATAAGGTCAAAAATATTTAATACCAGGCTATATCCAGGAAAAGCTCATCAACCCCTGCTCTGATCCCTTCCCTCCTTACTTTACTTTTCTTCCCAGGATGTATAACAATCGCCTTTCCCATGATACGACAACCTGTGCAGAGGCACACTTTTCCTCTCCTGTTCAGTGCCTGGCACATATTTGGTGCTTTATATTTGTTGACTCTATCAATTTTAAAAATTCACATTGAGGCATTTTGTAGGAAGCATCTCACCATTTAAAGAATATAAATTACCACTACTACAACCCACTGTCTCTATTTCTCCACCAGGGAAGCTGAGGTTAATTAAGACCCAAACAAATCCACGCATTGTAAGGTTGGAGAGGAAATGCTGACCCTTGGCCCAGGAACTCGCTGTGATTACAGAGAGGCCGGCCCCCTGTCATGGCGAGAAGAGCACAAGCTTTAAAAATAAAATGTCCGTTTTATTTTAATGAATTCCATGATTTTTAAATACTTCTTTGCCCCTCTATAGGGGAGAGGTAAAGCTGTCCCAGTTATCGAAAAATTCAAATCTCCTTTTCCTCACTGGGCTGTCTGTCAATGTGCTTTCGTCCAGCGCGTCTCCGAGGTCCTGGGAACCACTTCCAGATGCTCCCGAAGCACTTCCTGGGTCAAAGGCCTCTGCTGCCTCCAGGAGCTCCTTATCACTTCTGTCCTCCTCAAAGGACTTCTGGAAAAGGTCATAGATCTTCTGCTGCGTTGGGTCCTGCATCAGAGAAAGAAAAGGAAAGATAAGAGACCCCAGGCTGACTCCGGCCACTGTTGCTGGTGAGAGAACACACAGGTGGGGGCCTCATGTTTCAGGCTGGCAGGCGCTGGGTCACGGAGTGCAGACCCACTCAGCAAACTACTCATCACTAAAGCAGCCTCTCTGCCTCAGTGTCTGACATCTTCTCTTCTGCTTGTTGGGTAAAGAGAAAAAAAGGAGAAATGATTGTCCTGTCAAATGAGACACGATATTGCCCTGGCTGGTGTGGTTCAGCAGAGTGAGTGCCAGCCTGAGAACCAAAGGGTCTCTAGTTCGATTCCCAGTCAGGGCACATGCCTGTGTTGCAGGCCAGGTCCCCAGCTGGGGGCGTGTGAGAGACAACCACACATTGATGTTTTTCTCACTTTCTCCTTCCCTCCCCTTTGTCTAAAAATAAATAAATAAAATCTTTAAAAAAATGGGACATGGTATTAAAGACCATTAAGGTCAGCCCCACACTGTGCATGTGTCCCCTCTGGGATCTCATCCCCCTACATCTGAACTGCAAGGTCGAGGAAAAGCCACACATGAGGCAGCCTGTTCTAGGTAGAAATACCTGTTGGTGTGCATTCAATTGTGATGATGGTAACGCTACGTGCTCCTCAGAGCAGGCAAGATCCAGGTCAGATTGGTAATTCCCCTCCCTTCTTAGTGAGACAGGCTGGCTCCCGGCCTCTGTGGCTGGCGAGCTCACACACAGGTGGGGGCCTCACGGGTCATGCTGGCCGGTGCTGCGGGATGGCGAGCGCAGGCCCGCTCAGTAAATCACTCTTTGCTTTTGTCTCCGACACAGGAGGCAACATTTTGTTAGCCTAGTGGTGAAATTTTCAGCCCTAGTTTAATAAAAAAAATTAATTGACAATGAAAATTAATTTTCACTGACAGTGAAAATATTGATCACATCTGTACTTTAGGCAGCGATTCTAAACTAATTCAGAGTAAATGAGGGTAAGACCTGATGAATACATGGGCTTATATTTATAAGCAAACTTATTCTCAATGGCTGAGAATCCTTGAAAAATAAGGCTTTCTTTCACAGGGAATAGAATAGCAAGGGCTCCATTACAATACTTACCATTAACTGAATTAGAGAATTCTTGAAAAAGCTTAAAAATTAGGTGGTTTTAAAATTGATGTATTAATTATTTATATCTAAAAGGATAATTTATACTCTATTTTTAAAATATGGTCTCTGAGCATACATATCCTATGAGTACACTTGAAGAAAGGATTTACAGGAGTTGCTAAGGAAATGAAGTAAAGATCAGGTCCTCAGACTCTTAAGCCTCAGGGTCACCTACGAGAATTTGTCGCTATAGCTCAGCTTCTGATGCTCAGCAGTTCCACAGGAAAAAGATGGCATCTCGGTTTCCCGATGAGGCCTGTAAGGCCGCCTGCCTACGTCAGGCTCAGACCTCTCTCTAGGTTCTCTCGTTAGAACAATTCTCTCAGGAGTCGCTGTCCAGCGGGCAGCACCTCCCGAGTCCTCCCCTTCCGTGTCACCACCGGAGTGAGTGGAGCACTAGTTCCTGCTCCTCCTGCCCCCTCTTGGAGCTGTGCTGAAGTGGAGGAGGCGGAGCCGAGGCAGCCCTCCGGCGGGAGTGCTAGGCCAGGGCAGGCTGGCTGGGCCCAGCCATCCTCTCCGGGGGCCGATGGCGCCCTCGCAGCACCCGTGAGGCCCGCCTGGCTAAGGGAGGACGCTCGCTGGCCTCCTACTCTCCTAGACGACAAGGGGGCTGCAACAGAAGGAATGCTGGGACAGGCTGGGAAGTGGCTGCCTTTGGCTGTCTGCACAAGGCCAGTGACTGTGGGCAAGACCCATTGTCCTGTGTGCCTCAGTTCACCCCTCTACAAAATGGGAGACGCCGAGAATAAAAGGCAATGACTGAGGGGAAATGAGGTGTATAAAGCAATACTTCATTTGGAATACTCCTTGTTCCATGCTGGGGATGTTCAGGTGGTACCCGGCTATGTGGTGTTGCTATATGCTTTTTAAAAATTTTTTTTATTTATTTATCCTTTTTAGAAGGGAATGTAAGGGAAGGAGAGGAGAGAAATATCAGTGTATGGTTGCCTCTGGTGCATTCCCTGCTGGGAACTGGCTCCTGCTGGGAACTGGCCTGCAACCCAGGCATGTGCCCTGATGGGGAATCGAACCGCAATCTTTTGGTTCGCAGGCCCGTGCTCATTGCTATACACTTTTTACAATGACTCAACGGAATTCTCAACGGGGAGAATTCTGCCGGTTTCTAATGACCTGATGAAAGGGGCAGCATTTGCAAGCCCTGGTTTTATGAGAATCTCTTTAGAGAAGGTCCGAAGCAGGAAGAGTTGGGGCCATCACCTGTGCATAAAGGATGCACACATGGACTGACCTGAGAAGGCCTGCAGGCCATCGTATTCACCGCGCCCCCCCCCCCCCCCCCCGGGCCAGAGGAGGTCCCAGGAGGGACTCATACCCTCCCGCTCAGGCCCCCAAGGCTGGCTGGCCGCTTAGTGCCTCCTTCGGCCCCAGGGGCAAGGAGCCCTGTGCTGCTGTTACCTTGTAGATGTAATCAGTGGCTTCTGTCATTTCTGAAAAACTGGCCTCAGAAACCCCAGCTTCACCCAGAACTTTGATCTTCTCTTGGATCAGGGGCCTGTTGGGGAGAAATGAGTTTCAGTGGATCCATCCTGCACAGAGCTGCAGACTGATTAAAATGAGGCCGCCAATTCCGGGCTCATATCATGAGGCCCAAAATTCTTTCTACTGGAAGACGTGTAGGAAATAAGTACTGCCTCACTGCAACAAAATTTTAAACGTGGTGCTGTTCTGAGCTGCTCAATTAACCCGCTAAACCAAGAGAAGGAGGCAGGGATGACCTGCACACACTGCAGAGGTAAGATCCCTTGGTCACAAGGCTGGACACAGAGGAGTAGTAGACACTGAGCTCATCAAGAAATCAAGAAACTTAGTACCAGGAAGAGGAAATGGGACTGGGAGCAAGCATTGGGGGTTTTTTGGCTTAGGTAACCGGCGTGTACCCCCAGCTGTGTTAATGAAGCACCACATGGCCCAGGGTGAGCCACTCAGCCCCAGCGGTCCCACAGCTGTAAGATGGGATCCCAAAGTACATCACAAAGGGGCTGTTCCCCCTTGTGGGGGCCTTCTACCCTTTGTATAAGGGCACAAAATGGGCTGTTCCCTGTCTTGGCAAGTGCTTCTGCAGCTGGACACTGAGGTTTTTTTTACAAATTCAATCTACATTTCATCACAATCGGTTCTTTTCCTTTGTCTCAGGCAGTGGCGACAAAGCCACACCCCCTTATTCCTGCTTGATTTCCCTGTGCACCCCAAAGGCCCCACTGAATGCTGCGAAGGAGCCGAAGGAGCCAGACGTGGTCCTGAGGAACGTGGGAGGAAGCCCATAGCAAAAGCAGAAGCCCTTAGGTAGCAAAGGAAATACATCACCAGTGTCCACCCTTGCTCAACCCCAACTGCCTGGACCGGCCGTACCAAAGGTAGTCGTCAGCTGTGCCTCTCGCCACCAGGTAGTGGATGCTCACGGAGCTCGACTGTCCAATGCGGTGCACCCGGTCCTCAGCCTGCATCAGCACCTGCAAGGCCAAGGGATCAGGGTCTACGTGGGCAAGGCCGAAGCAGCTCCGCCTACCAGGCCAGCAGCCCCTGGCTCCCAGGTCCCCCAACTCCTCTTCCTCAAAGGACTTCACTGCTGTGTCTCACGGTGGATGGCCTACACGCCTCTGCCTACAAATGATGTGTCATCTGACAAAAGGCAGACCCAAACGAAACACTGGTTGGGGAACTGACTCTGCAGCTGCCTAGCTGTGGACGGCCTTTTGGTGCTGCTCGGGGTGTAGGCACTGTGAACGGGGAGCGAACTTCGTCTCGGCCATCAGGCAGCTGTGAGGAAGGGACAACGAAGGAGACCTGGCACATTCCCTTCTTCTCCCCGAAAAAAACACCCGGTTACCTCCTACTTAAATCAACATCTGCTCCAAAGGGAGAGGCCACGTGGGATAGGGGGCAGTGTGCCTTTTCATAGGGTGGAAGCTCTACAAGGAATAATGGAAACCAAGGGTGCTGTTCCCACTGTAAAATGCATCCCACACTGAAGCCCACCGCCTATGTGTGGCCAGTGAGAGCCACACTACGTGAGAACATGGGAGGGTAAATCAGCTCTTCCTGGGGCCCAGGAGAAGAGTTGATGAATGCAAACAAATGTCTTCCCTCTGCTGTCACAGCCCTCAGCTGAGCAGATAAGGCCAGTAGGTACGATGCCCATGTCCGGGGAGCACTCCCAGCGGTTGCCCTGTTGTGGCCCCAGTGGCTGAAGCAGCTCATAGTGGCGGGAATCAGAGGGGCAGGGTGGAAAGCCAGAGACCCCGGAAGTGCCTGGGACTGCCACGTGCTCCTCTGTGGTGACAGCTATGCACTTCTCTGTGCCCCAACTTCCTCACAGAGAGATGACTTCTAAGATTCCTTCTAGCCTTCTAACACTTCAACTTTCCCATTGATAAGATGGAGTCGATACTTCTACCAGGAGGCTGTCGTGAAGATCTAACTGGTAGCCAATAGATGTGTGAGACTGCCAAGTGGAAAGTAAACGTGTTTCTGGGGACTAGGGGAAATGGAGGCAGAGGCGACTGGCCCTGGGAACAACTCACAGACACCTTGTCTTCCCGACCGACCCTAGCCCCTTCCTCCCCACAGCTGTGGGCTTGCCCGGGGACTTCAAGTCTTCTGCATCCCTTACCCCTGGATTCCAGAACAGCTCGGCGAATACCACCAGGTCGGCCGAGGAGAAGGTGAGGCCCATGTTGGCAGCGGTGATGGACAGCACGGCCACGGCATGCCCCTTGGACAGTTGGAACTGCTGGCACAGGTGGTCTCGATCAGCCGAGGAGGTGGAGCCATCGATGCGGATGTGCTGCACCCGCTGTGGGGACAGGGAGGGAGTGGGTGGGGCTGCTTCCCCATTCTCCAGGGGCCCAGTGACCGCCACCAAGTTAAGAGCCATGGATCTACATCATTATTTTTCATGGCTGAATAGACTATTATCTATCAGTACACCTACTGATGAACATCTAGGTTTCTAATTATTCAATATTGATAACAACAGCACTAGTATTCTTGTACATAAACCTTTCTAACTGGTCTGGTTATTTCCTTAGAATAAATTCCCAGAAGAGGAGTTTGGCAAAATTAGCATGAAGAAATTGCAAGAAAAATGTGTAAAAGAACCATGATTTAACCACTGTGTATGTGTGTGACAGAACGGACCCATTTTTCAGACAATTTGAACCAGTTCTTTACTTTGTAATTTATTTTCATGCTTAGAAAGGCATTGCCACCCAGTGATCAGCTGTATGTTTGCCTGTATTTTCTTCTAATACTTGACGGTTTCAAAGAACTTCGATTCACCAGGCTTTTAATATAGTAAATAGTGGCCCTGGCTGGTGTAGCTCAGTGGATTGAGTGCGGGCCTGGGAACCAAGCAACCACGGTTCGATTCCCAGTCAGGGCACATGCCTGGGTTGCAGGCCAGTTCTCTCCCTCTCTCCTTCCTTTCCCCTCTAAAGATAAATAAATAAAATCTTTAAAAATATATATATAATAAATAGTGAAGTAAAGTTTCCTTCAAGTCCCCCTCACCCCAAGTTACCCAAACTTTGTTTGTTGAGTGAACTGGTTTGTAACTGTTCCCTGATCACATATTTGTTTTTAACTTACACTAACGGGCCACCTGTTCTGCTCCACACGCCTGGCCCCAGTTCTCGGCCGGCGCAGCTGAGTTTCACTGCAGGTTTTACTGCGTGGAGGGCCAGTCTGCCAGCGCCGCTCTCCTTTAGAAAATGGTATTAAACGGTCTCTCTACTGCCTATAGTTTGAGACATTCTTTGAGATAACAGTATAAAGTTTTCTTAAACACCTAATTGGAATTTTTCTAAAAACTGAATTAAATTTACCAATTAACTTGGGAAGGACAGGCGCTTTCACACTTTTAGCCTTACACAGAGGAGCACGGCCAAAGTATCTGCAATTCCTCCTTAGTTCCTACATTTTTTTTTTTGGTGAGACTAATATTAGGTACTTTATGGCTTTTGTCACTGTCTATCTTTTCCCCATTACATTAAATAATTAGGTATAGCTGGTACAATAAAAAAGAAATTGATTTTAGTATATTTATTTGGAATCCAGGCACCCTACTAAACTCATGTATTCTAACAGTTTTCCAATGAATTGTCTTGCAGTTCTTGAAAATAAAAAGGCTCTGATTTTCCCAGGGATTATAGCTTTTAATTCTATTGGCCGAATTCCTGTATCGCATCGACAAAATTTAAACTGGGTGGATTAATGATCCACCTCTAAAATTTTCAGAAAAAGTCTGGGATTCCAAAGGAGCTGACCTTTTTCTCAAGCGCCTCGGTGACTGCGTCCAGAACCACCTTGTGGTGTGCGAACACTAGGAACTTCTCTCGTCCGCTTTCCAGAAGGTCCAGGATATACTCACTGCATTTGACAACGACAAAGCAAATCAAACATATGCTCATCCAGATGAGGTCCATTACTGAAAAGTGACTGCACCTGCAGCAGACACCTTTGGGGTACCTGCCCTGCCCAGCCCATTCTCTCCCTTCTCTGGGAGCTCTCTGCACCCCCTTTCCCTCAGGCCAGGCCACTGGAATAGAAGCAAAATCGGGAGCTGTGGAAATAAGCCACCCTCTGCCATGTGCAAAAAGAGTTCTTCCATACTTTTTAGTCATCTCCCATGTACAAATAAAGTATCCTTATGTTTTATGGATCTCTGATCTGCTACTGAAACATTTTTATTACCTGGGATCATGAAGATAATTAACAGTTAGCACTTGGGCTGCTACCATCATTATAACATGCTTTCGATACAAATTAAAGTGTCTGTAGATCTGAAAATGCCTCGGCAGGGGATGAAGGGATTCTTGACAGTAATCAAATTTCTGGAAGTGTAGTGTTAAGACCTAAGTGATAACACTGAAGGGGATGTCAGGGACAGCGCTCCAGCTCCCTCCCGCATTAGGTGGCTGCCTGCAGGGCCAGCGGGTAAGTGGGTGGTCAGAGAATTCTCTCCTGAGGGAAAGGGATAGAACGTGAAGGACGTTATTCGCTTGGTCTTTATTTTCCCTTTAACTTACTTCTCTATGCACTGTTTCTCCACTTCCCACCCTTATCTTTAGCAGTGGCCTTAGAGGAAGGCAGCTACCCTGAGAGAGCTTGGCAGGGAAGAGTCACCCAGCCGGCATACTCGGGAGGTGTCCCCAGGACTAGTGTCTTGCAGAGGGGAGGGTTCACAATCCCAGCACAGGTCACTGCTCCTGCAGGGCAGCAGGAAGGTGAGCTTCTGGGGACAGAAGGAGCCTCTGCTATGCCTGAGGCCATCCTCACACATAAATCTCAAAGGTTCCTGTTATAAGCAGGTGGTAGGAAGGTACGTGGACTTGTCCTCTAAACATGTAAAAGTCATTTTCAAACAACAGCATGGCTAGCCAGGGTGTGGATTTGAGTTCAATTTGTGAATTGTTGGTACTAAAAATAATCAACTTTAATTAGTTTGAGAGATATAAAATTTGCCACGATGTAAGCAAAAAATGTTTATTGCTACAGCTTAAAAAGCCACAAGGCCATAAAATCAACCTGGCCAGCTCCTAATCATCAGCAGAGGCCCCAATATTCCTAAGGCCCCTCTCCCCTCTGAATCTCAGACATGGATTGCTTTACTGCTCTTTCCCCACATCCCTAAGTTGCCAGGCTGGAAATATTTGCCTACCATGATAACCTTGGCTTTTGTATTGAAAGATGCCCATTAAAAGGAAAACAGACAACAGAAAAAAAAAAAAAGAAAAACAACTAGTAGAGAAAATTAGAGTTTTAAGATTAAAAAAAATTTACCATCTTAACCATTTCCTTCCCCCCTCCAGCTATGATTTTAGAGAAAGAGACAAGAGAGGAAGAGTGGCTTCTTCTCGTATTTGGCTGTTTCTTGTATGTGCCCTGATTAGGAATCAAACCTGCAACTTTGGTGTACCAGAATGATGCTCTAAACAACTGAGCTACCCAGCCAAGGCTGAGTTTGAAGAGATATAATCTAATTTCTACTTATTAGCTGAGTGACTCTCAAGTCCAGAGACTCCCATGAAATGTACTCAGTTTCTGCATTTAAAAAATGGGGCTAATATGACTTATTCTAGTGATTTTACAAAGAGGCTGTAAATGTGAAATGAGTTAACAGATATCAAAATTGGAAATGATAAAGCACTCTGTAATTTATAATGGAATTTTTAAAAAGTACGTATGAGGTATGTTATGGACTGAAGGTTTGTTCTGTGTGCCCTCCCAGAATTCATAAATGAGCTGGTACTGGAAGGCAGGGCCTACGGGAAGTGACGGACTCAGGACTATTGTAAGAGATTCCAGACAGCACCTTGTCCCTTCCACCACATGAGGACGCAGAGCAGAGAGTGCTGTCTGCAAGTCAGGAGGGAAACCCTCACCAGACTCTGAATCTGTGGGTGCCTTGAACTTGGACTTCCCAGCCTCTGGGGCTATGAGAAATACTTGTTGTTTAAGCCACCGCAGCCCAGCAGTCTGTGGTATTTTTGTTATGGCAGTCCGCACGGCCTAAGACAAGGTACCACCAAGTTTATGTGTGAGGTGCCAACATAATTAGATTTACAATTTCTAAAGAAAAAGGTTGGCTCTAAACCCAGCACTCAACACACACTGACTTCCGTGGGTCACAAGCTGAGCGAGGGAGGCAGAGGACCGACACCCTTGCCATCTGTTATTTAGCAACAGACGAGAAACAGGCGGTGGGGGGCAATTCAGATCTGTTTCTGGGAGAGAAGTTTCCAGGCCATAAACGCTCATTAGAGTTCATGAGCCCTGTCGCAGTGTCACAGATGAAAAGGGCTGTGCCTGCGGGGTGAAGCAGAGCTGGCGAGCTGGCCAACAGTCAGCAGCCCTTGCGCAGACTCCTAGATTTGAACAACACAGTAAAGTCTCACCACAAGAAGGGCACGGAGGGAGAGGCTGCTGGGGCCGGAGGGCTGGCGGCTGCGGAGAGGGTGGGGCAGGCTGTGCGGCTCAACATGCCCACAGATCTTGGTCCCCACGGCCCATCTGCCACTGCTCAGCCCACGCCAGTTCACTCTCATTGCAATGTAAGCACTTGGACCACTATCCCGCCAGAGCCTCACGGGATGTAGAACAATAAAAAGTGAGGCAAACTGCACATCACTGGAATGGCCTCAGGTTTCTGCCACGGTGATGTCTGAACATGAGTGGGTTTCTTTAAAAAAGGCAGACAACTGAGTTTTTTAAAAAGTCAGTGAATACATTTATGAAGAGAAATGATTAGTTCAAATTTAGTGTGGAAGGTGGAAGGAGAACTCAGTGTGACTACGACAATGGCCACGTGCCCATACCTTTTGAACGAACTTCCCTTCAGTGTGGGCTTCAGCCCACCCTTCCCATAAGTGACAGCAGCTGCAGCTCACTTGGGTTGGGGCAGGACCTCACAGGGCCCCCAAGCCCGTCCTGGTAGCGCTCCAGACACAAGCCTCCCCGTGCCCCGTGGCCGACGAGGCCTTGCGCCCTAAACCTCACACTCCAGGCTGTAATCGGCATCCCTGATCGCGTCTCACAGGGCAGGGCGAGCATCGTGGCAGACCGAGACGAGAGGTGCTCCTTCTGGGAGGTGAGAGAGAGAAGCCAACAGCTGGCGACCACTTACATGACACACGGGACTTTGGCTTCCGCTGTTCTGTTGAAGTAGAGAATGAGGGCTGCTCTCTGCTGTCCTTTCTGTGGAAACAGAAGTCGAGGGTTTAACGTCTCCCACTCTGAGGACTCTGAGCTAAGCCGACGTAATTATCACCACCATGAGCTCGAGGACTCCTAAAGCTTGAACACCCACCGCCAGAGCCAAGTGGCCCTCACTTACCTTACCACTCGCTTTGGCCAAACCACAGCAACCGCCTGAGCTCTGCTGACCCGCTGAAATGCAGCCTTGCTAAATATCCCTGTTCACTGCAGCCTGGGGACAACTTATACACAACACGTCATGTTCGGTGTCTCTTGCTTCCCCCTTTTCTTCTGCCAGGCTGTGTCCACACCCAGCTGACAAAGCTCACCTCCATTCAAGGCTTGCTGAATTAATTCCAGTAGACTGCCACTGGTTTATTCTAATACCATCTCAAAACCATTACTTGTATGTTTTGGGCCTGTCTCTGACATAAAGTAAATGACTCCCAAAGAGAAGAAACCGTGTTTTCTCTATAGTTTGCATCTAAATAAATGCTAATAAAGAATGGGAACAGAGGAGACGCTATTACCAACATAACAGAGGGTAGCACGTGTTTCACTCTGGGCTCCCAGAGATGAAGAGATGTTGACCATCACGGCAGGGCCGCCGTCTCCTCCCACCTGCAAAGGTGCTGCCTGCTCAGAAGAGCTGCTTGCTGCGAACAGTGCCTTTCCTCTAGGTCCTGACGAGAGAGGAGGAGGAGGACACCCCGGGAACACTGACGGTCGCAGGGGCAATGCGGGGTAGTGGGCCCACTTCGCACTTATGTGTGTCACAGCAGCGGAGGCCGTTTTGTGGCAGCAGCCCAGTTTGCTAGCTCGCACTTCCTGCGAACTGCTGTTGAAGATGCCACTCCATGGCACTGGCATTGTACCCCAACTTGTTTCTCAGGGCAACTTTCCGTAGGCCTCGTTTACCCTGATGAAGCTCTGTCCACATGCAATCTTTCACCTGTGGCCAATGGGCTCAGAAACTTCGTGAGTCCATTCGTGTGCCCTCGAAGGGTCCCTCACAGCCAAAGCCTTCAGAGCAGGCCCGACCCCACGGCCCAGCAACTTACTGCTTCAAATCTATCCTCACGATACGTCGGTATCAGTGCGCACACTCGCGTGTAAGCTACTTCTTCAGTGTAGTATTACTTAGGCTAGAGAACGGTTGAATTAACTTAAAATCCAACTTAAAACGCCTGGCAAAATTTTACTAAACCATGTGAGAACACATTACACTGTGTTTTAATATATTTTAAAAGAACATTTAACAACATGGAAAAGTTTTCATGTTATGATTTAGTAACTTTTGTTCCTCACTTGATGTGTATGTTTATATGGTTCAATTCTACTTTAAAAATATATATGCTTATAAGTTATATATACATTTATATATACATGAATATATAAATATATACTTTAAAGCAATATATGAACATTTCTTTAAAAATCCAAATAATAAATGCTGAAATTAGGTGATATAAAAGGTAAGTAAATCTTTTTACTATAGTGATAAACCTATTTAATAAATGTTAATTATAAGTACTTTTCTTTATTTTTCAGACTTTATACACTAGATACCTACTGAACTTTTAATGTGAGAGAAATCGATAGTTTTACCTTTTAAAAAACTCCCCCAAACTCTGCAGGCAGACTACCAGTCCGTTAATGATCTCATTTGCTTTGCCAGCCACGGGTAAGAAACTTTTAAATTACCTGCATTTTCTGTTCCCATCCCTTAGACTTTTATGAAATTAGACCCCCTGGGGTTTCCAGTTTTTTTTTTTTTTTTTTCTACGTTGGACATCTGAACGGACTGCCAAGCGACAGAAGGGTGAACTGGTCTTGTCACCAGCAATCTGCATGGACTTGTTCCACTTTTCTGCTCCTGCTCTTGCTGATCAAAAAACGACTTTAGACGAAAGATGATTAGAGCCAGCTTTTCTTAGCCTATGAAGAGGTATCTATTATTTCAGCTGAAAATGAGAAAAGGCTTTAATAGCTGTACATTATATTTTATAAATTGGCTGCTTCACCTTGGCTTCTGTGACTTAAAAGCTTTTTAAAAATGTCTTCCTCCAGATGGGAAGTTGTGTGGGAACCGAGAAAAAAATCACTTTCTGACAGGTCAGCAGTGCTTTGCTGGAGCCACCATGCTGTCCAAAACTGTGGGGACACCTGGGCCTGAAGAGTAACTATAAAGTGGGGTGTTGGGGGGTGACTTTCTATAGATCCATAGGACCTCCTCACTTGACTGAAAGCCACAAAACCATGATTCCCCATGTCAACTCTTCTGGCTCGGGATTCCATAGCTGGTCAAGGTTTGGCAGGAACGTCAGCAGCTACCTCATCTCGCTCCCAGCTGACACTGGCCGCCCTTCCTGAGCTGTCGGGTGGTGCTCCGATTGGATCCACTTCACAGGTGTGCCAAACAGTGGCTTTAGAGTAAGGAAGGTTCGGGTGGTCCAAACCACTAAGCTCAACACTTGTTTTCTACTTGGATTTTTCCATTAAAAAAATGAATTTACATTATAGAACACAAAGGGGAACCACATTTTCTAGGATTTAGCTTATTATCAGAAAGACTTTAGTATCTGGCTTCAGCAAGATGTTGAAGGTAGTCTGTATCAACTCAGTTTCTCTCTTCTGGGGACAAACTCTTCATTTTCCTAGGACCCCACAGAAGCAGATAGCAACTCTCAAGCACAGGGCAGGGAAGAGCTCTAGGCTCTTTCTCTGCAGGATTTTTGAGGAATTATACTGCAATTTAGACTTCATTTTCATAATGTGCAAAACACAGTAAGACTCTGGGATTCTGAAGGAGCAGAGAAGATAATCACCCTACAGGTGGGATTCTGGGCAGTTGGTGTTCTCCTGATATATTTTTCCAGCAACAAGCCCATCGGGGCCTGCCAAAAGGAAGCAGGCCATGGCTTCCTTTTTTAGGTAAGAAGACATCAAAAATCCCAAATAATTTAAGGGATTTGCACAGCTATCAGAGTTATAAAGCACCCAACATGCCTGACTTCCACGGCTCAGCCTAGTCAATTCACATCACTGCCTGTAAACTCAGAAAACCACACTCCCAGGTTAAATCTGAAATCACGGAAAGAGCCACTCACCCAATTTCAGGAACCGTGCGAGTTGGCAGGAAGCTTAAAACAGCACGTCCAAACCTTGCTGCTCTAAGCACAGAATTCTCACACATCCCTTTCGTTTTCTTTTGGCAACACAGCACAACTTATAGTAGTTGTGGGACTTTCATCCTCAATTCGAATGCCCACTAATTGCCTTTTCGGTTGTCTGTTGTGGCTATTCTCAAGCTGGTTCAGGAGGTGGACCAGGAACAGACTGACTTCCATCACACACACAAGCATAAACTAAAACATAGCATTTAATAAACATGCAGGTCCTCACATGATCACACATCTGAATTTTTTCATTAACATTATATTTGCTGTACTTATTCGCTGGCTTTCTTATTTGGCAGAGTTCACGAATGGAGAAAAGTATACCTTAAAGCACAGGTGGCAAACACAAGGCCCAGGGGCCGAATCCTGCCCTCCACCTTGTTTTATCTGGCTCGGCATCTTGTTTCTACCCTGCAGCAGCACTGAGCTCTCACTTAACCATTAAGGAGCAGTTACACTCACACAGTCCTAAAATTGTATTTGGCCCTTTGAAGGGAACCGTGAGGCTGATGTGGCCCCCAGTGAAAATGAGTTTGATACCCGTGCCTTAAAGGTTTAAGAAAGTTATAAGAAAAAAGTTAAAATTGAGGAAAAAAATTCCATTCATTAAATTTTATCTCTGGAAATTGGAAAAATCCGCCAAAACTGATTTTAGCAATGGGATACTGGTTCCGCTCATGGTTCCACTGAAGTCCAGTTTCAGAACCACTGGTCTGCACATCCGCATCAGCACTGTGAACTTGGCTTGAAACTCCAAGGCGAGGGGATTATGCCTGTCACTTCTCCCAGGCTACCCAGATTTTTAAATGTAATACAGCACAAGTCACATACGGCTTGACACCTGACCGTGCATCCTCCTCCCTACCCTACCCTCTGGTTCTCGGAAGTCACCAATTAGTCTGCTCAATCACATGGTAAAGTAACATTTTTTTGAAAAATCACACATTATTTTATAAGCTTCCAGAAGGCTGAGACCGCACCTAGATCTAAGTTTCTTTATACGGGGTAATATTAAGCCCAAATAATGCTTTATAATAATGTCCAAAATGTCAATGATTGTTATTTTCTTGGTAATGAAAATTACAAGGCTTTGTCCCAAGAGGGCAGAAACGGAGCTGGTGCAGGTGAGCTTGTAGTACTTAGTACAGTGAGACACTAATGACGGATATGAATGAAAGTGTTTTGAAAAGATAAAACCACCATAGTGGAAAGAGGCCTAAAAACACAGGGGTACCAGGCTTGGACAAAGCCTCGGCTCTGCCACGGAGCAGCCACGAGATCTTATGCGAATCACAGTCTCTATGAGCCTCGGTTTCCTTGCCTGTTGCCTGTAAAATGGGAATCCTGCCAACCATAAATGACTGCAATAAGAAGGCAAAGGATTAGGAAGGACTGAAAACTCGACATTGTTAAATAACTGCCAACTTGTTATTCTGACTAAAGCAAATGACTTGGGATGGTTATGGAGTTAATATGTACATCAAATACAGGTAGAACTAATTTCTCACAACCATTCCTATGCTGAGGCATTCTCAAAATACACTATGCATAAATTCTAGCTTTCCTGGAGGGATTCAGAAGATACATCATCATGACACAGTTGCCCTGGAGTTGGTTTTATGGCCATCCATCAACAGCGATCCACACAAGCATAAAACCACAAATGAATAGATTTTTGAAGTAGACTAGGCAAGCTGAGAAATGAAATGGGCTCACTGTCCTTGCCCGGGGCGGTGGGAAGAGAGGACTGGAAGGCAAGCTCAGAGAACTCTGGGCAATGTCCACGGAACCCCTTCTGGGAAGAAACACCTGTGAATACAACGTCCCAACCCCCATCTCCAGCCCCAGACTCACAGATTGGTCCTTGGTGGTCATCTCCTTGGCCGCAGCATTCAGGGATGCTCTGGCCTTGGTGTTGATCCGACCTGGGGCCACCACCACCATCTTGCGCTGCTTGGCTGGCAGCTGGGAAAGGACGTCCGCTTTGAGGCGTCGCAGCATGATCGCTTCCTCCAGCAGCAGCTTCAGCTCTCCCAGGCTGGAGGAGCCCGAGTAGTCCCATCCCCAGGCAAGCTGTGGAGGGAGAACCGAGACACGGCCCATTCAGAAACCCCAGGCCCAAGGGAACAGGGCCGTCACCTCCAGGTGGCTTCCTCTTCTCACCGCTTTCTCTTCCCCAGCTTTGCTCCGCAGGAGAAACAGGAAGGAAAAGGGCAAAGCCAGTCAGGATGAGGCAGACAAAAACCATGCATCATGGTGTTCTACCACCTGGCATTAACCTGCTTTCTAGCAGCAAGTACAGGATGCCAACGGTTTGGTGGCCATTACACTAAAAAACCAACAAGACACTCAGCTTGTCAGACTATTCCTGTATACTAAACCCAGAAATAATATTCCTTAGGGCTTATCCCAAAGAGTCCACCATACAATGTCATAGCTAATGTCAGTAATGCATTTATTTGACGAGATTTATAGGAATTTAAAAACCTGTTGTTCCTCAGTATGAGTCACGCCAACACATCCAAAAGCAACATAGTCAACAAAACTGCAGTGTGGGCAGTGGTGGGATCGGGGAGGAGCCCGGAACACAAGTTTTTGCCAGTCTGGCTGACCAGACATGGGTCTCAAAGGACCAGGCAGGCCTTCATAAACCTGGCCCCTCATTTGGTAGCTCAGGGGAGGCAGCGAGCAAAAATGCCTACTTCCTGCTTCACAGTTACAGGTGTTTCCAGTTAAAATAAAAATCCTACCTTTCACCAACAATGTTCCTGGAAACAGAACTGATTTCTACAGTCGTATAAAAAACCAAGGAACCAGGCTGTCTGCTGCCTTATATTGTTAGCCACTCATCTCCTCTCCTGCCTCGCCCTCGCCGGGACTGTACACTACTGAGCCCTGTTCATTTTCCAGGGCCAGTGGACCTCGCACAATTGTGGAGACATGGTAGATGTCCTATAAACCTTTGCTAAATTGAAAATTAAAAGAGGAAGTCAAAGGTAGAGAAATGAAATAATCAAAAACTAAATCTTTAAAAAATATCTCTGAAATCCACAGGAAGTTCTCATCAAACGCCTTTAAGCTGCAGGGTCAAAAATGAGCTGGGCATGATGCACTCTCTCCTGTGGCCTCTGTTCATGCAGGAAGCTGGGCACACACGCAAAGCGCGGCCACGGCCTCCCGGCTTCTTTAAATGAAAATCATGCTGGGAACAAATGGTATCATAATTAATTTGGATATCGTGCTCCTAAGTTCTAATATTATCAGCTCTTAATCTTGCAGGTTAAAACCCAATACCAAAGATTTTAAATTGGACTTTGTAGTAATCACAACCCAACACACTTTTACTGAAAACTTACCACACACCAGGCACTGGGCTGGGTGGAGGAAAGAACACAAAGATGAGGAAAGCACCGTCTCTGACTGGGTTACTGGGTGGCGGGGGCACAGCAAGAAGGCAGGGAAGGGTGACTCTGAGGACAGCACAAGAAACCGGGGAGATGGTGGCGGAGACTAGGAATGCAGGCAAGGACAGTATGGGAGTCAAGGCAGTGAATTCCATCCTCGGCCCCTTCCACCACTGGCTAGCCATTACTCCACGGGCCCCAAGAGTCAAGGGAGAGAAGATCCTTCTCAGAAAGTGGATTATGTGCAAATAGAACAAAGGTACAAATCAGACATGAAGGGTTTGAGGGATCACATACACATTATACAGTGTGGAATGACCCACAGAGAAAGTGGCTCACCAATTTTGTTAAAGGAGTATATTTAATAACTGAGAAATTTTCTGTCTCAATAACAAGCTAAAAATGGTTGGCAATTAACTATGCAAAGCACTAGAATTTACATCATAAATACTTTGTTTGAATGTAAGTGGATATTTTTTAAGTACTTGAAAAGTTTTATGTTCTTTTTTTAAAAAGTACTTAAAGATAAGGCAGACAGTCTTATTTGCATCATGATCGTGCAGAGCAAAGCTCTCCCCTCACAAAGGGCATGGGCAGTGAGTACACTGCAGTCACTTCTCCAAAGTCAGTGGCTTCGATGCAAACAGTGGCTCAGCATATTTGTGACGTGACTACAGAGCAGAAATCCTTAAGGCCTGAATTCATGAGATTTTAAGAGTCCAGCTTGTCCTCTGCAGCAGGGACACTGCCCACAAGAAAAAGGCCAGATTCAGAGTTTTCAAAGTCACAGCAGAGCAACTGGGGAAAAGGAGAGGCAATCTGCACTAAAGAGAGGCATTGTCAAAGTTTGGAGTTCAAATGCAGGGCATGTGGAACCTCATGGGAACAGCGTTTAGACGTTTGAGAAGTCTGACCTCACACACTGATGAGTGATGAATTCAGCGCCTTGCCGTAGAAAAGTAGCAATCAGAAAGAGAGGTTAGTGAATCTTTCCTCTGGTTTTCAGATTACGGACATCCTGGAGACCGGATTAGGGAAAGCTACTGGGGAAGAAGATGAAAGCCAGCCGCACCCACACCCCACTGTCAGCAATGACCCTGACTGGGACTTGTGCTTCCATCCGGCAAGGAAAACCAAGATCCCAGCACACCGGCAAACAGATGGGGGTTGCATCCCACTGGAGGGTCTGAGACAGTGAAGGCACCAAAGCCAACCAGGAGGATAAGGCCCTAGACTACATGTCTCAGCTGGTTAAGGGGGAAAAATGAATACCCACACAAAGTGAATACCCACTTCAGTGGACACTGAATACCCACACAATGGGGCTGATTCACTGGGTCATTCTTTCTCAGGTTATGTTTGGGGATAGACACTGGAAATGTACACAGACTTTGGCCACCTGGTCTATGGCTGTCAGACACTAACGGATTTCCCAGCTCAGGCCCCAGAACATGCTGGATGCACCAAGAATTACGTAAGGGAGGGATTTATGGATGACAGTCTCAGAGAAAGACCTCACAAGTGCTTGGGGCTACCCCAGGCCTCACTGGCTACCCTATAGGTTAAACCTAGCTTTTGTATACTCTGAAAAGGCAGCTGGCAACATTATTACTGCCCAGGGTGATAGGATGTCAGATCGGATCAGCCCATACTAGAAACCTGCAGCTGCGAAGGGACCACGCCCAGGCCCCAGCATACGACGCGGGCCCATTTCCTCTGGTCACCGAAGTCTCAAACTGCAGAGGTGAGCAGGGGACCAGCGAGGCTTAGGCCATGTCGGGAGAGTCCCAGAACAGGGAATCTCTGCCAAATTCACCTGTGCAAAGACGGAGCTCACGCATGCCAGGCACGTGGCCTGCAATCTGTTGGCTGATGAAGAGATTGAGTGATAAAAGAGAAAAACAGCCAACTTTCCCTCCTCTGAACCTCCTCGACTCCTTCCCTCTGGCTCACCAGAGAGGATGTTTGTAGTAGCTACAATTTTTATGCCCTATATTCAAAAGTGAGAAACTGGGGGACCATGGCAGCCATCCTCTGTTCGGCAAGACCGTCCTTTTGAAGTGGGCAGCTCCAGAAGAGACACAAAGGCACCTGTGAGGAGGACGGTGCTCGGCTCAGCAGGCTTCATCAGATCAATGAACACTAATAGAGTCATTGGAGGAATTCAGGACTTGTGAATAACATGGTTTAAAATGTTGATTTTCTCTGCTTATCCAAGGAATCATTGTGGTGCATATTACCTTCCAGTCGTATATGAGAGAGGAAGAGAGAAGAAGGAAAGAAGAAATGGAGGGAGGAAAAGTTCTGCATCCTACTTTTGTCCACTCTCGTTATCTCCCCATGTCACTAAATACACATTTCTTTCCACTTAAACGAAATGGGGTTTTAGAAATCGAGATTTTCATTGCCATGGCCTTTGTGTTTATAAAGCTTCCCCTGCCATCTCTGGAGAACAGAAGCTGCACAGATTGTAGCTCCGGAGGTACCTGCTGCCCTGGCGCCAGGCTCACAGAAATGACGTGTGGGTCGGAGGCTCTGCTCACTACGAGGAGTCAGGCTCACTGGAGAGAGCCCACCGAGGCAGCTTGAGATCACGCTCCCCGCTCCTCCTGCCCAGAGGCTTCCTCTGCCTCTGTTCTCACTTTCCCAGAAGAGTTTTCGCATTCCTGCCATGCCAAAGGACTTTCACCTGCCTCCTCATCGACTCTCTTCCCCCTGCCTAGGGCCTCGCCCTCACCTCCAGCTCGTCCCCGTCCTTCCCGGCAGGAGCTGCTGGTTCTGTGAGTTCCACACACCTAAGCGTTAGCCACTGGTCCCTTCACTGGGAAACACCGACCTAGAATCCCCGAAAGCATTAAAACTAGGAGGGATTGTTCTCATCTTCCCCCAAGGACACTCCCAGGTCAGAGTAGAGCTAAAATCACTTCGGCTCCCTGGTCAGTGCTCCTCTGATCATACCACCATCCAGGAGACACGGACAGAAAGGCAGGTGTCAAAATCAGGGCGACAGGTGGGTGGGCTAGTGAGGAGAGCAAGAACAAATACCTTCTTGGCATCACAGTAGCGAAGTCCAAAGGCATGAAACTGAGGGAAGAATGTGGGCTTGACGGCGATGATCTGCGTGTAAAGCTCTGCAGGTCGTGACATGGCTGGCGTGCCGGACAGTAAGATCACACGCTTGGCAACCTAGGAAACAAAGAGCCAGAGGTGCTAAGGACAGAGGAGCACATGGGGACCATCCCAAATGCCCCAATGAGACAGGAGCCCCAGGGAAGGCAAAATCCCCTGGAAACCAGCACAAAGAGCTTTCACTTCCTGGGCACTCTTCTTGCAGGCAGCTCTCGAGTTTAATTATCTCAGAACCGAGGTGGATCTAGACCCCAAAGACACTAATGACCAGCCATACTCTAGAGCTGGGGTCCCCATCCCCTCGGGCTGCGGATCGGTTCTGACAAAGGCCTGTTAGGAACCGGGCTGCACAGCAGGAGGTGGGTGAGGCTTTGCCTGCATTTCTGCCTGAGCTCTGCCTCCTGTGGAAAACGGTCTTCCATGAAACCGGTCCCTGGTGCCAAAAAGGTTGGCGACTGCTGTACATTGAAAAAAAAAAAAAAAAAGCACATGTGTGTTCTGAGAACCTCGTGGCGTGACCCATGTAAGCAGCTGCATGTCATCGCCTAAATGGCCTTCGCAGCGCCCTCGCCCATCTCCACGCTGGCACTTCACACACGACACTGAACTCTCTTTTCCGTCCCCCTCAACAGACTGCAGGCTTCCCGACCTCAAGGATTTGGTCCTGCTCACCTTCAGTTTCTGTAGCACAGTGCCTGGCACAAAGCGAGTAATTAATAATGTTCACCATATGTTGAAAAATATTCACGAGGTAGCTAATTAGTGTCCTGGGGACCAAGGAGTAAACTCCCAGAATCCAGCACTGGAAGAGAAAGCGGAAGCCAGGGCAGTAGCAACAGGCCTGAACTTCCAGCATGAATTCTGACATCCAAGTTGAACTTCGGAGCAGATGACACCTAGGACCAGCCCTAGCTCACTCCCAGGACGAAATGTGTAACTGTGATTTGGTTTTCTTTAGAGGAAAACAAAAGGCCATCGCTAACTCAGCTGCACAACGCTTTGAGCCCAGAGAGCCCCGACTGAAGTCCATTTTGAGCTAATAAGGACTTTAAAGGTGGGACCCAGACCCGTTTACCTACACAGAGTGGGTCTGCAGCGGCGCAGCACTGGGCAGAGCGGAAATCAAAGTCGGTTCATTCCAACGACAAACTCCAGGTTTCTCACTCCCCCGACACCAACCTGACCCCAGAGGATCAGACCCAAATATCCCACCTCTGTATTAGAATATGTAATCGTCAAAGATTACCGGAGATGAAATTCATTTTGGCTCTGGGAAGGGACCCTACTGCGGAGCTTGGCTGTCGAGAAATAGCTTGTTAACCACTGAAACCTTGAGTTAATGACAGTAGTATAAGGTAGTATAAGGCAACCACACGCAGTAAATCACCTAGGGGAGGAAATTAGGTTTTCTAATGGATACACTTGCCTCATAAAAATAAATAAATAAATAAAGGTGCAACAGAGGGAAGAGAAATGAGTCCTTATAAATGTAAATATGCAGTATATACAATTCTCAAGATGCACTTTTGCCCTCTCCGCAGCCGCCAGTACCGACGTGCATTGTGACAGGAGAGCTATGACCTTCCCCAGCCATCATTTCCCCAGCTCAATCACCCAGGCCCTCTAATTTCCTGCAGAGTTTAATGCAGGCTCATTAAAATAACAATGAGCTTCTTGAATGATGCCTGTAGCATCCGCTTGCCTTGGCTCAGGACCATTTTAATGAAACAGGGAAAATGAAAAGTCTTATCAATAAGAGAAAATCACCCCGTCATCCCAAACCCATTCCCCAGGTCACTGCTATTGTTGCCTGGGGATGGAGCCTGGGCAGCGGCTCCGAGATCAGGTGACGGAAATTCACCCCAGGGTCCTCCATCAGACACTTACAGAACAGACTTCATCCTGACTCGGTTCTCCCACACACTGCTCAGGCTCGGGGTGACAGAACCGTTGATAATGGACATTGGTGGGTGTCTGGAAGCAGAGGCTGCATTATGGAAAAAGGCCAGCTTGGAAAAGAAACCAGCATGGAGTCTCATCTGTTAGGAAATGACTTAGCCTGCTCCCTGCTCAGCCCCAACGCGTTCGTATTGTCATCACTGTCATGCATAATGCTTTTATCGTGCTCAGCTGCACGGCATTTATATGTCACCCTCCACCTCTGAGAACTTCCACTCTAGGAAAATATAAATGCATAAATCTACATAAATCAACACTACATTGAACACTTTACAGTTAATTCCTCTATAAGGCAAGAAAGTAGCACCCAAGAAATCCACAATGGAACAATGTAAAAAATCATCTCTCTTTGGTCTGAGAAATTATGTGATTCACATGAGCAGACACTGTTGGGGGCAGATGACCTTCAAGGCCAGGGGTACAGGGTGGGATGCCTTGCAGGCTGAGAGCAGGACATGTTGGAATGCATGATTCAAAGTAATTCAGTGCAGTAATTCAAAGTAGAGAGCCTGCACACAGACTTTAAAACAGGAGTCAAAAGAATATTCTATTGTAGGATAAGAGCTGAAGTTGTTTTTTAAGTCCATACAAAAAGCAGTCTGGGAATTCTTCATCACTTTCCACAGACACCTCTTTTTTTTCCCCAACTGAACCAATAACCAGCTTTACTGAATTACTCTGAAATAATTCAGAATTCTTGGTGAAATAACATACTTCACCAAACCCCAGGTTAGGACAAAAGTCGTGTTCCCCAAAGCTTCGTCCCATTCTTAGAGCCAACACTCTTCCCAACGGTGTTCTCAGTATAGGTTATGCTACAGGCAAAGCCCCCTATGATTTGGAAACAGAACATGAGAAGACAGGTGATGCCAAAGAGGCCAAGCCCACACCACCCAAGGGCCCCAACACTCGTTAGTCCTGAGGCATCAGGGACATTGAGCTGTGTTTTAATTAGTTCAGAAGTCATTACAGAACCTTGGGAAAGAAGGAGAGTGACAAGCACAGTTTAGGTACAAGTGACCCAAGTACGCAGAGCAAGAACGAGTGCAGGACTGTGACCACTCTCCAAGAAGTAACAAGAGAGTCAACATCTGTAATTAAATTGAAAGCCTGAGCACAAGAGGGAAAAAAACTCGAAGTTTAGGAGAAATCCAGGGATGGCAGACTGGGTATCAGACTGAGCTTCTGCTCTTCACTGCTCCTGACAGAGTCGGCTCCCGTGACAAATTAGACCTCACCTAGACAGATGCTATCATCATGACCACTGCTGACCAGAGGCCGCCCAGGACCAGCAGGGCGCCACCCACCACTCAGTGGCACCTGGTAAGTGGACTTCCCGAGTCGCTGGTTAGACACTTCACATAAAAATGGTTCCTGGTAGGTTCCAGCCTTTTCCAAAGAGACAAAGTCCCAGGCACAAGTCTGGACAGCACCGTCCTCACTAACTGATCTGCATGATCACTGTCAGGCTTTCAAGCTGGGTGAGTATCGCTGCTTTGGCGTTAATGAAACCCGGGTGCCACATATAAGGCAACTAGTTCTGGGGTAAAAACGAACAGAATGAAGACTGCAACTACAGCTGTACTTCTTCGAGAACACGGAAACGTTATGAGCACGCATGAAATGGTATACGGGGTTGGGCAAAGATAGGGTTCCAGCTGTTCACATGAAAAACACCACAACAACGAAGAAACAGTAACACGAGCGTGAACTGTTTCATGGACCACAACGGTAAACCTGCTCGTGCCCCGCCCTGCAGGTCCAGCAGAGCAAAGTCACGTCGTTCTGAACTTCAAGGCACACGAAACACTCGTGCACAGTATTAGTACAGCACACGTAAAGTGGGGGGGGGTCTCTTGGGGAAAAAATAGTCTATTTTAACTATTACCAGTCCCACAATTTCACTTTAAGATTGATTCCATGATGAAATTGAACAAATTTATCAGAACGGCTGGGGCGCAGGGGCTCCTCCTACAGTCTGGTCACCCCGGGGCAGGGTCGCCACGCTTTCTGGACACAGAGAAACTGGGTTTTCCACTCCCCGCTTGCATATTATACGGAACGATGGTCATTGCTGCACCGTATGCAACAGCCAAAGCCTGGTTACAAATCCATCACAGGGAACAGGTAAAACAGAGTGTGACAGATTTATTCCAGAGGATTCTATTTGTGAGAATGAGGTCAAGTCACCTGGCACGAAGTGGGATAATCCCCAACACACACTGTTACGGGAAAAAGAACAAGTGCAAGACTGTGGCTGTAGAACACTCTGAGAAGGGAGAGAGGAAACACGCGTGTGCTCACGTGGACACAGGTTACATTTCAGAGGTAGACCTGAAAATATGGTAAGCATGGCTGCCTTTGGGGAAAGAAATCAAGGCACTGGGGATCCCAAGCTGGGAGAAGGAGTTATTTTCACTTTATACCCTTTTGTACTATTTGCTTATATCATCTGTTTAAACTACTCAACGAAAAAAGAAAAAGAAAAAGCTCATACGTTTCAGTTGGACCGGTATTCTCATCTCATCTAGTCAATCAGTAGATAAAAATAGTAAAATTTTTACTGCTCACAAAAAGACAAACGTTTATTAGGAAAGAATGGTGGGATTCTGGGGCCCCTTTTCCCTCTAAAGGAATAATTGGATGTTGTTAATAAAGTTACAATCCTGTTGTAACAATAAAAAGCACTGCAAGCAAAACACGGCTAAAGAAAAGCCACACGCACCTCACTGCTCCGAAGGGAACACAGTGGAGCGCGTGGCCCTGTGACCCAGGCCGAGACGGACAGGAGGCGGGTGTGCCTGGCCAGACTCAAACTCTCAGACGTCGACCAGAAGGTAAAATTATGGCCCAGCAATTGTGAGTAGAGAAATTTGTCTTATGAGGGCAAAGTTTAATAAAGCTACTAATATACAGATGATGTTGATTTGCAGAATTACTTATAATAGCAAAATAATGTTCAACTTAGAAGGGTTAAATTATGAAATGTGTATGTAACAGACGCTCAACAACCATTAAAAATGATGATCATGCCCGACTGACAGATTAGAAAAATAACCAACTGTTAACAGTGGTTTTCACTGCTGGAGGGACTAAAGAAGACTATAAAAATGTTCTTTATAGTTTTCTATCTTGCCTACCACACTTATATGTAAAAATAGAACGTTGCTTAGTCCAGGCAAACACGGCTATGAGAGCTGTCACACCTCCCAGGGACAGTGACACTAGCTTCTTACAATCTAGGCAACATGTCCTCTACTCGTCATTAACGAAACCCACATTTTCTGGACGTGACCTTGCTCAGCTGTCTCACAGACTATATTATATAAACTAATTATTATGCACATTCGCTGAGAGATCTTGAAACATTAAAAATCTTGATATACACTGAAAAGTATATATCTTGATAAATATTAAAAATCTTGAAATATGAGAATATAGTAGTTCTAAGACATGCAGGGGTTGGAGGAACAATCGAATGGTATTAAATTATGTCCTCATATGGCCTTTGTTTTTTTATTTGTATAAGTTTTAGGTGTATAACTTTATTATTTGACCTCTGGGCACACTACAAAGTGATAATCCCCAGAAGTCTAGTTGCTGTCCATCTGCCTTCAACTGGGAGGCAACCCCTCCTTTTCTACAGGGATTTTTGAGGGCATAGTTTACTTCTTCTTAACTCTCCTCATTCCAAAAACATTTAGATTCATTTCCTTTGCGAATCTGGATCAGTGGCTCTCAGCAGAGATAACAAGTGATTTGCCCCGCAAGGCATGTTCGGCAGTTACCGGGGGCAATTTTGGTTGTCACCATGGAGGAGTACAACTGGCGCTGGCAGTCGAGGCCAGGGAGCTGCCAGACATCCTACCAGGGGCACGGCAGCTCCGCACAACAGGGGATCATCCAGCCCGGAAAGTCAACGGTGCCGAGGCTGAGAAACTCCCATCTGGAGGAAGTACACCCACTCCACCCTGACCGCATTCTGGCCTCACGTGAGGTCAGCCTCATGGGAGGGAGTGGCGGGAAGGCACCATCACAAACAGCAGACTGTACTCCCAACTCCCGTTTTATTGATAATTCACCCAAGTTCTACAGCAGAACCAGAGCAGTATAACGACAGTCAAAGAGATTTGTTTCAACATGTTGCCCTGAAACACGCCCATGACTTTAAAGATGTAAACGCCGTCTTCAACAGCCCGGCTCAGCGGCACACATCTCAGAGCCTGGCGTGTGGTCCTGCGTGCTGACCGGCAACGGCCGCATTAACCAGACGGTTGCTGAGAGGCTTTCCTGCTATACCTTTAATGACAAAGTCCATCCACTGTACAGTTTCCTTTGTCTGAACAATCAGGGGTACAGATTTTAGTTAGAGCTGTGACACTGGAACCACAGTACCAAGGTCTTTGTTAACATTTTTCAAGAGAGTACACATTAAAGCCTCCCCAAAGAAGGGTCAGCACTCTGGGAAAACATTTCATCTAAGAGTGTCCATAAATGGCCCTCTGTTTATGGGTAATATGAGCAGAGAATCAAGGTTTTTAAGTGAAGGACTTTTAAGTTAGGAGCACACGACATAATCCTCCTTTGGAAGATGCAGCATGTTACTTGTTATTATCACGGAACTTGTTATTCCTAAAACAAAACCTGAAACGAGTGGACACTTGTGTATGTCGTATGGGGAGGTAGAAAAAGTAAGTTAATTTTCAAATGCTAATAAGTTGCACCAATATCTAACACAGTGGTTTTCCCTAGCTGAGGTAGAACTTGAACCTTCTTCTAGATAATAAACGCTGCAGCTTTAAAAAGCTGGTGCAATACAAAGACACGAGATAATATGTAAATGAATAAAAACAGCACAAGGCAAACATACTTTTGTTTGCTTAGTGTGCCCCAAAATTTTCCCAGCATCACCTCTGAGATCCTTGCCTTGTTATGACAGAAAAAGCTACTTTCCCAATTTCACTACTCCCCCAGCCCCCAATATTAGGAAAAGGTCACTACTAACAGAAGGAAATACGGGGCAGGGGGCAGTTCCTCTGTTGGGAAACAAAACATGGGTCTGGAAGTGCATACAGACCAGACAGGAGCTGACGCCGCAGGTCAGAACAGAGTGCTTTCACATACAGATTAGAAGAAGCTGTGCTGCAGCATCCCCTCCACCCCCATTCTGCTGCCGGGGCTCCACCAGCCAAAGCACTTGCTTGGGGCATAAACTCAGATCCCCAGGACCAGGTGGATGGCTGCCTCTCCTGTTAACAGCACAGCTCAGGGTGGCTCAAGGAGAGGGCATCAGCTTACAGGGCACATCTCAGCATCACCCACCTCCCTCGGTTTCAGAGCACCATGACGACTGTGCCCTGCAGCAACTTGGAGGACAGGCAGTTTCTGGGGAGCCTTCAGGACACACCGCTGGAGGCGCTCCCTCAGCCTTGTCCAGCAGGAGCCCCAGATGACCTGGAGTGCAGTCAGTGGACTGCCTCTCCCGACCTGGCCTGGGAGAGGCAGAGACAACTGCACTGACCCTGCGCTCCTTGGCAAGATGGTAGGAGGAAAACAGAATCCAGCACCACAGCCCTGAGCAGAGATGCCCTAAGTTGACACTAAATTGCATCCATGGCCCACAGTCTCCACCTTGCAGCCCCTGCTTTCCTGGACCACCTTCCAGCAGAGCTAACCATAGCGGATCTCAATGCCAGGTAGGCTCAGGTGCCAAGTCCACTCTCGGCAGGACTCACCTTGAGGAGGGGCATAGCTGCGCGGCAGCGGGCAGTCTTAATGTTTTTGAGGAAGTGAGATTCATCCTGAAAAGAAGCAGTCACATAGGTGAACAAGGTCAGATCCTGTGTGCATGGAAACAGAACCCTCATTAAGCTCGACCCTGGCGTGGCATCGCCGAGGATCCTCCCTCAGCACCTTCTCATTCAAGGAGACAGCTGTGGTCTGGGCGAGGAGCCCGGCTCTGCTGGGTTTCTCCACTACCTTCCGGGCCAGTCACTTCCTCCTTTAGCACAGTGTTCCACCTACAAAGTGGAGCTGGTGACTGCCCTGCCCTGCCCACCTCACAGGCGGTACTGAACACACTGCTGAGAGGTGGTCTCTGCTTCGTAAGACATGCCTGACCTCTGCCCGGCACTAAAGCAAAGTGTGCTGAAGACCCACTGTGTGCCCTGCCCCGGGGCCCAGCCCTCAGCCCAGGCACTCGCAGGGCAGGAAGGGTTCAGCCACCCTGAGAGCTGACCAGACGACACTGTGAGTGCTGTCGCTGCAGCAGGCGTGACAGAGTACTGCAAGAACTTGGGGGAGGAGAGAAGACAAGATTTCTGTCCTCCAGGGGCTGATGACCATGCTGAGAACATGGAGTTTGAGTATTTACAGCTCTGTATTCTATGCATGAGCAAACTAGAAAATGTAGTATTTTCTAAAGCTCAATGAGTACCTAATACATTCTTATTATTTTGGGGAAAAGTTTTTATTTTGGTATACATTCAAATTACTTGCTATGTGATTCTAAGCAACTACTTGACCTTTCTACAGTGCCAGTTTCTCCATCTGTAAAATGGGTATAATACCAGAACCTCACGCATTGGGTTGTCATAAGTCTTAAAGGGGCTGATACACATAAAGCCCTGAAACAGTCCTGCCACTTAATAACCACTCAATGGTATCAGTCGCCCTAGGACAGGGATACCAGGAATATCCTGGCTTATTGCTAAAGAAGATCTATAAGAACAAATGTCCCCTACCCCTGGTTCTATTTCAACTGAGATGAACTGCCCCCCCAAAAAGGACCTCGAAAGCGTAATGTAGGGGAATGCGAGACGAATCCCCAAATGTCACTGTATCTATCCCCAGAAACCTGGGGTGTAACTAACATTCATTCCCTGTCTGATGATGAGCCCGCATGACAGCCAAGAAAAGGGGTTTTATAGAGAAAATAGCACAACGTCCAGAGGATATGAAAGGCAACAACATACCACTATTATGACTAACCACAGGACTAGCTTCACATTCACAGAACTGACATCTGAGAAGTGCAACATCTTAGAACCGTCACTTTCTGCCTCCCTACAACATTTCTCTGGAATAGGTGGAGGGCAGGGATCTTCCATAAATGAAGAACAAGCCATCGGTGGGGTCAGCGGTTTGCTGAAAGTCGTAGGGCAGGGGAAGTGTTGAGTCAGAAACAGAAACACGGGTGCTCTGAAGCCCCACGCGATCCAGCTTTGGTCAGTGACCCTCCACTCTGCCAGCTCCGCGCCTGTGGGCGACGTGCGTAACCCTCTCACAGTCAGTTTTCGTCGACTGTGAAATGGGGACAGCGTCTGCCCAGGGGCCACTGGGAAGATCAGCGATTACACATCAAGTACCTGATTCAGGATCAGACTTGAGAAATGAAGGCATTATTCTTCCTACACACTGTGGCACCGCTACCATCATCCTGGAGTCTTTTTTTCATGTGTTCATTTTCACATGCATGCTGACATTTTTCAAAGCTACACTTGGATTTGTGCCGAACCAGAAATGGCTCCCCCAAAGATGTGTTACCTTTCAGCCTTGAAAACATGTAAACATTTAAGTTTGCTTATGCTATGAACACAGCATGAGTCTCATGTCCAAATCATAAAAATAGATCCTGCTCTGAGCCGCCACAACACTTAGCTCACAAGTCTATGAAAACACTAAAATGTGCTCTCAGGATCTGTGCACGCGTCTGTCTGTCCCACTGACTGTCCTCCCTCCTTCCCTAGTGCGCTGCTCTGTGCAGGGCGCGGGGCTGGCACTCCACTGTTAGTTGAACCAATGGGTGAAGGCACTCCCCGCCCCCGCCCCACCACCCACACACACACACAGAGTCAGCCCTGCGCCGGGAAACCCACGGCACGAAGTCTCTCTCATACCCTTCCTGACCTGCTCCACTACGAGGCTGCACTGCCCGGGGGACCCCAAACGCCCTTCCCTTCCTCTCCTTCTAGATAAGACAGGCACTCCAACTATGGGCATGGAATTCTCCACGGTCAGGAGAGAATCGTATTTTTCAGAGAAGGAAAACACCACTGGCTTTTAAAATTCACACATTTGAATAAAGAACCCTCCATCTCATCTGGAGGCACTGGGTTTTGCTGTTTTGTCAAAAGGAAAAACATGGGTGAACTTCCACTGGCAATCACCTACCACAGGCTTCGCCTCTGGGTGCTCGCTCTGGGTTCCCTGAACCGGGGCTGGAGGAAACTGCACCCTCTCAGAGTTCTACCTGGGGGCCATGACACACAGTGAGTGCTGACAGAGGGGCCGGTGTGGTTGGAGACCAGAAGGAACGCCGGTGACTGAAAGGAGTGCCCTCACAGCTAGGGGCAGGACTCTAGTAGAGCCATCTTTTAAAAATGACTAGAATAAAAAGTGCCTTCCTGAGAGGGGAGGGAGTGTCCTCCTACCTGTTGGAAGAAAAAGTATTAACCGTCTGAATAGTATGTCTGATAAGAGGGCACCAGGCGCAGGCTCACGGCCACAGTTCCAGAAGCCCCCGGCCAGCCTGGGGTCCACCTGTGGCCTCCACACAGGCCCTCACACCTCAGAGACGGGCTACAAACCCCCCTGCACAGACCTAGTAAGTTCCATTTTCCAGAAAGTTCCCCCAGAAATGCTAATATGTAGCCAGGGCTGAGAACCGCTGAGAGAAATGAAATGTCAGGTCACCACAAAGATGAGGATTTCTGCTCCTGTAGAGACCGAGCGGGGCTCCGTGAGAGTACGGAGAAGAAAGTTCTGTGTGTTTTAAGAAGAAAGTTTCCACCAGGATAAAGTGCTTGAAGACCCTGCCAAGTCACTTACGATGATGACAACTTTAAAAGGGGTCTTTATCTGTTTTTCCAACTTGCTCAGGAGATCAAAGCTGACAATGTTGACCAAGCCAGCTGTCAGGCGGTCCTTGCCGGTCACCACAACATTGATGTGCTCTGGGTTCAGAGACGGCAGCCACTGGAGGAAGGCCTGCGGACGACGTCGGAGAGCAAACCCAAAATGAGGACCCGGCCCGGCAGCCACCAGCTGTGACCCCAGCAGCCACCAGCGGCACTCACTCAGTGTGGGCCGAGACAGCGCCTCCTGGGACCTCGACTCGGTCCCTGTCCCCACACACAGCAACCATCTCCACCCTCCTCTGGCCTGTCTGCTCCATCACCTCCCACGAACAGAGCGCACTGCCTCCCCTCCCAGGCTAGTGCCGCACGGCAGTCACTGTGGGTGTCTGGGAGTTTCATTTCTGTGACCCCTAACTAGACGGCAGGTCTCTGCAGAGAAAGAGCATGACTCTTTTAAGAATTTTATAAAGGAATTTTTAGCAGAGCTTGATACACCGAAGGCACTCATGGTGGTATTTTCTACAAAGCACCTGCTCTCTCCAGAAGTGCTGCCGTCTCTAGCCAAAGCCAGTGGCCAGGGTCAACAGAAGGCCACCAGGCACCTCCCCGTCAGCGTCGGGGTGCTGTTCTGGCGTGCCCGGGCCCCCACCGCTCTAACACAGGGAGTGCTAGTTCTCCTCCAGTCTCTAGAATCAGACCTTTCCTAGAAGGGTCATCGGACCCTTCCCTAGAATTTCTGAGGGTGCTGTGGACATCTAACACACACGAAATAAGTATGTGTTGAATTATTCATTACTACAGGTACTGGCAGAATTCAGGTCACAAGGTCAGGAAAAGAACACGGTACTGTTTCAAGTGAACGACTGAAAAGTTTTGTTTCCTCTTCAGTCCAAAGGGCACGTCTGGGCACCTGGCTGAGCGGCTGCGGGCAGAGCTGCCTCTTCCCCACACACGGCTCACGGGGGCTTAGGAAGAAGCCAAGGTGCGGGGGGGCTGACAGCCGCCACCCGTCACATAAGGCCGAGAAAAGCTACAGATGATGAACTGGGGCTTCCTTCCTCATCAAGTTTGCTTTTCTGGATTTTTATTCATTTCGCAGAACCACTCTGATCCTGGATTTATGGCGGACAAAGCTCAAGGCTGACTGATAATAAAGCTGAGTTCACATCAGATTCTTTAGCTATAAAGGTACCTGGTAGACAGTGAACCTCCTGCCCTCACCACCTTCTACAGAGTGAGTGCAAAAACCCTGAGCCAAGAAGACAGGAGAGGCGACCTCAAGGCCCTGCGCCGCTCCTCGTGAGCAGGAAGTGTGGCGCTTTCCCTCCCTGAGATGCAGGTTTCTCGTCTGTCAACAGGGCTGACACCCAGTGTGTCTACTGTACATGGCCACACAGGACTGTGGGAACTAAAGGAGGTAAATGTTTTGAAAATGAAGTGTGGTACACATGAAAGGTGCCATTAACAGGGCTGCAGGAAGTACTCGGAAAGTGCCTGCCGACAGAAGGGGGGAAGTCTGGCTCTGTGACTCTTTGGATGTCTTCTCTGAAGGTGTGACCTTGGATGTCTTCTCTGAAGGTGTGACCGGATGCTAGTGCAGAGACCCACGGCCCGTCTCGGGCGGCCGTCTCCTCTCCACTCCCGCCCGCAGCTGAAACGGTCTTTAAAGGTCTCAGGCCCTATACCCAAGTTATCATCTGAGTCCTCTGACCCCGAGGAAAACCCTCTTCGTCAAAACCACAACGCCAGGGGCACTGACCTGCTCCCAGGTGAAGCGCACAGACGACGGCACCACCACCAGCAGCGGCCACTCCTTCCGGTAGAAGGCCGCGATGCAGATGGCTTGGATGGTCTTCCCCAGGCCCATGTCATCAGCAAGGAGCAGGCGGCCTCCTTTCGCAATGGCAAAACTGAAAGCAGACAAGGACAGTGACACAACACGTTTCCCGGGGCATAAGCTTACCTGCCACCAGGCCACCGTGTAAAGCAAAGCACACGGCTTGGTGTGGGCTACTGCGCCAGCCGGCGTGGGCCCTGTTCATAGGAAGAGACCTGACCCCAAAGAGGGAAAAGCAGGAGTCAGTTACGGGGAAGAAGAATAATTTAAAAAGGAGTCAAAATTGGGAAAATGTGAACTGGTGGTCAAAAGGCAGGGAGAGGCTCTACCTACCTTAGAAGCCCAGGGAGGAGGTCTGTAATGAGAGTCACCCTCAGCCCAATGTAAGAGAAAGGACAGTGGGGAACAGTCTCTAATGTGGGGTTGGGGAAGGGGCCCTTGCTCACGGGAAAGGTCTGCCTCACAAGGAGGAAGGGAATTAGAGATGAAGATCAGAGGGGATGCTGTGTGCACAGGGGCAGAGGGGAGGAGCCAGCAAGGGCAGGAAATGCAGCAGAGGAGGCGGGGCAGCCAGAGAGGAGGAGGGAGCAGCGGCCTCCAGTGCAGCAGCGCTCACTGACCATCCATGAGCAAGGCTGCACTGAGCTCTTCCAGAGCCCAGGCAGCCTGAGCTGGAATCCCCGTTCTACCACGTGGAGGCAAGTTATCTCACCGCCTCGTGCCTCAGCCAGATGTGGAAATAGCAACAGGATCTACCCCAGAGACTGTTCTGAGGATTAATAAAGTTAGAAAGTAAAGCACTTAACAGAGCGCTTGACAGCACTGTAAGGACCAGGGGAATGTTCAACGAGGAGAAAAGTAATCAAGACATAAACAGTGAGACTGACTTGATCGAGTCACCTGACGACTCAGTGAAAAGCTGACAGGGTCCCTAGTGCCACATGTCTGGTCTCCTGCTCCAAACGCCAGTCATCCTTCATCTGATTCCTGAAAAACTGATCATTTGCTAACTGACACCTGATAATAAGCCAGACAACTAGCTCTTTTTCTTTCTTTTCTTCTCACACAGCAAAAGACAGAATGAAACCTCTTCTAACTGGCAGCTGGTATGGCCGACAAGAATTCTAGGCTGCACACGGCTTTTTGGGTTTGCCTGGAAATAGAGTTTCTACCCTTCAAAGGCCAGTGTTCGGCGTGGGCAGAAAACAGAGCAGATCTGCGGGTGGCATGAGGCCACCGTCCTAGGCACAGCATGGAGATGGGCATCCCGTCCTGGCACTTCCTTGCCCTCCCAGCAGTCACAAAGCCCGCCCGTGAGAGGGAGTCTCCCTTCCTGCATCCCCCACGTGGTGGCCGCAGGTTCCTTCATGGGAAAGGCAGGGGGCCCGGTGACATGCCAACGGACCTCTCTGACCAGGATCCCCTTCCTCCTGGCACATCTACTGCGGTTCACTCTTCTGGACCATTTCCGGGGTCAACCACACGACACAGACAGACAGAGGGAGGGCACACGTGAGCAGACTTATTTCTACCTCACTTTCTGATTTACAGAAGTGGTGGCCAGGGCATACAGGGCGCACCGAGGCAGCAAACCCACAGGGCCCTGTGTTGCGGCCTCCCCGGCCCCACCATTTACAATGTCCACATGTTCATTCTCAAAGCAGAATGGACCCCTGAATTTGTTTTTCCTTTTTCCCTGCACTGAGGTAGCTGAGCTAAGGAACCAAGCAGCCAAAACTGAGAACGAAGCAAACACTTGGGTTAAAAGAGAAACAATCACACAGGCGACACTGTCCTCTGCAGAGCAGTTGGCATAACAGAAAAAACGCTGCACTCATCAGGGAACACGGACACAAGCCCCGGTTCGCTTGCACGAGCCTTCGCTTGCACCAGCCGAGCGACTAGGCAGACAGCCCACGTTCTGAGCCTCAACTCAGGCTGCAACCTCGAGAGACCCTGTAGTCATTGGAGGAAGCTGATAGGCATCCAAGAGATTTTGACTGAATTCTTACATACAAAAACAAAAACAAAAACAACCCCATGAAATTCACAGTCTTCTTCCCTCAACACCAAACCCTGCCTATTCAAAGAACGAAAGTTAAAATCTGGGTTTAACTTGAAAGTGTTGAAGAGAGGCTGTAAATACCACTACCACTCTCAGGGCCCTATAGAACAAGAAGGGAGGCACGGGCCACGCTCTGTCCTGACGCACACAGCGCCCCCAGTGGTGAGGAGGTTAACTGACAAGGCCTACATGCACCACAGGAGTTCAACGGCCTCTGCTTGAGCCGCGCAGAATGTGATGCTAAGTGCAGAGTGGGCAACATCAGTGAAGGAACCAGAGAAAGAAAAGAGCAAAGGAAAAAACCATGCTTAGCCCGGGTAAAACGAGACCCAAAGGACGTGACAACAGATGAGGGAATGAAATGGCAAAGTGTGCTACCTCTGCTGCTACCTCTGCGAGACAGAGGCAAGGGAAAGGAAAACAAGGGGGCGGGACCGCAGTGAGGCGTGACCATGCTGAAACCACACCCAGAGCAAAACCCTGTCTGCGACAGTAGCCCAGCTTTAACCAAAACACCACAGTGGCGGTGTGCAGACAGGCTGCCTTCATTTGTCAGTCCCACCAACCCGCTACTTCCTCCCCTGGCACAGGGCTCCTCTCCCACCTAACAGATCTGGCTTCCTCATTTCTGGACGGGCTACAAGATCTCCTCCTCCCTCTCCTCCACCTCCTGTATTTTCTTAAGAAGTCAAGTTCAAACCTGTCACTTTGCTTCTCCTGAGAAACTCTGGGAAAAGGACAGGTCGGGCCACAGGTTTATCTTTATTCTTTCTATAATAAGTGCACCCTGGCCTTCTTTTGGGCAATTACAACCCCCCAGTCTCAGTCCACGTAATTCGTGTGGGGCAGGCCCTATCCTGTCATTCCAGGGGTGGGCCCATCACCCAGCCTCACCAACAAGATTTCCATGCTCCTCGGCCACACTGACTGGTTCCAGCGTCAGCACCAGATTTCGTGCATTTGAGGGCAGGACTGCTAGGAAAGAGGTGCTTCCGCTGGATTGCAGAGCTGATGGATGTGAGCTGGAAGCCCCTGGCAGCCCCAGCGGCTACACTTGAGCGTCGGGCCAAAAATAAAGCAAAGAGGAATGAAGTGCCGAGAGAGGAACAGAGGCCTGATGAGATCTTTTGAGACCCTGAATTTTCTATCACATGCACTTAGAAATCTTCTCTTTAACTAGTTTGAAAGGGGTTTCTGCACACCTGCAATGCAGAGTCCTGATGGCTCATGGAATTTGAAATGAATGGTTACAATTAGGCTTTGGTAACAGCACACCTGGCTGTTTAGTGCCTAAATGCTTGTGGATTTCTGTGGAAGATGAGCATTCTAAGGAGCTCATCTAAGCCCAGCTGGTGGTAAGTGACGAAATGTGAGCAAGAGAGAGCAGGAAGATCAAGGACCTACTTGACTCCAGTTCTCTGAAAGGGTAGCAGATTAGACACGAGCTTGGGGTCCACTCCGGAGAGGTCTGCCTCAGGGATGTCTGCCGTGAGACCAAGAGACGTCTTCGCCATCTGAGAAGCGAAAGCCAGGGTCAGTGTCTTGGGCAGAGGACTCAGTTGAACTTGTGGAAGGCAGCGCACCCTTTCAACTAGAAAGAAGAACAGAGGCATGTGAACTGGAGTGTTATGTCCAAGAGGTCCAGGGAAAGAGAAGGGGCTTCAAAAAAAGTGACTGGGGAGAAAATCAGAGGCTGACAGATGCATGCCAGAGAACAAATTCTCCCTCTCTATTCCTGAATTTCTGCAAATAAGAGGGCAATCGATATTGCAAAATTGATTTTCTACACTACACAGATACCAGAAAGAATTATAATGTGATCTGTGACAGGTCTTTTTCTAACCTAAAGTAATTAAAAAAGTTATCTTAGGCCCTGGCAGGTGTAGCTTAGTGGATTGAGCACGGGCCTGCAAACCAGACAATCGCGGTTTGATTCCCAGTCAGGGCACATGCCTGGGTTGCAGATCAGTTCCCTGCAGGCCAGTTCCCAGCAGGGGATGCACGAAAGGCAAACTATACATGGATTTTTCTCTCCCTCTCTCCTTCCCTTCCCCTCTAAAGATAAATAAATAAAATATTTTTTAAAAAGTTATCTTAGTATTCCCATTCAAATAACTAAGGACTCATATTCTTAAAAAAAATCAGCCCAGAAATAGCAAGACCTAGAATGAAAACATCCTGTCTTGTTTCCATTCTTTGTATGTTTTATTTTGGCTTCAATGTGTGAGCAGTCGAAGAACCCCAAGTCACCTGCTATCAACAGGCAAGGAAGCCCTGTGCTCCATGCAAGGCGCCAGGAGGTGTTTCCAAGAATGGATTTTCTAGCTGCTTCACAGCACATGGTGGTAACTCGGTGAAGGTGGTCACCTTCACCTAATTGGTCTGAAGGTGACCTGCTAGCTCCCTACCCAGCCTCTACAGCAGGTATTGGCAAGTGAAGGCCCGAGGGTCCAACTGGCCTGTTTGTGTAAAGTTTTACTGGACTCAGTTGTGCCAATCTGTCATGGCTGCTTTTGTGCTACAGCCGGTGGAGCTGCATGGTGGGAACAGATACCGTGTGGCCCACAAAACCTAAAATATTTACTATCTAGCTCTTTACAGAAAAAGTTTACCAACCCCCGGTAAGTTCAGAGTCTGGACTATCACCAAATGTGACCATGACTCTGACTCTTCCCATCGAAGCTCATCTTCAGGGTTTCTACTTCCCTTCCAAGTGCGAGGTCCCAGACCTCCGTACAATGGACGGGAGATCCCTTCTAGTCAAAAGCCATCAACACAAGTGAGAAAAATAAACTATTTGAGATCTACATGGAAACGAAGGCAAATTAATTTCATTGATCATGTTGAAAGAATTTAAGACTCATTTGATTTTAAAATTAGGAGGGAAAAGAACTTCTTCAACAGAGAAACAGAAAAAAAAATAAACCAGAGATATAAATAAAACATGCAATTTGGGAGCAGGGGAAGACAGGTTAAGAAGTCACAGGTTAAGACCTGGAACTCGCTGGTGGCAGAACTACCACTAAACTACCGAGCGAGGCCTGCTGTCCTACGGCTGTAACTACCCAGATGCTCGTCCCTTGTAGAACCGCCCTTTGAAAAGTCACATGAGAAGACTGGCCGGGGTGCACAGACCCGCGGTGGCTCTTTATCCTTCACCCATTCAGGGGCGCCCTGGGAGAGGCATGGCGACCCTCCAGGGGGGCTCACTGTCCTCAGGGATCCGGTACAGGGAAACGGGGTACATTTTACTTCTGCCCAACATTATTCAAAATTCCAAGGCTATAAGTCCTCTATCCCACATGGTCATATTTATTCTTAATATCTTCAGAAGGTATGACAAAAGCTTTTTGCCACAACCATCAATTAGCGACCACTGCAAATACTGATGTGAACTGGGAGGATTGAGCCATCTACTGCTACCTGAAATTACTTTGTATTTTCAACACATTTAAATCCGTTTCTGCCCTCCATTAAATATGTGCACTGGTTATTTCTGGAGAGTTTGCAAGAGCAAAATCATCAGGATAAGCAATTAGGTAAGGCTGACAGCTTTAATATAAGAGACTGTCTATACTGATGCGGTAATACATTTTATGCCTCCAAATTAAATCTGAGCATGCTGATTTCTGCACACTTCAGGGGACTGAGCACTCTATGTGCTTTCAGAAACCATTTTCATTTTAATCCTAGTGATCTTCAGAACTCAAATACCTGATGGAAACCAAGACACGGCTGATAATCCAGCCAGTGTGAAATGCAGTGCTTTGCAAGCATCATGTTCCTTCAGCCACTCGAGGAAAACATCGGCCTCCTCTTCGTTTCCTACTAACTACTGTCTCCAAACCCTCTGCTGCTAGTTCAGCCAACGGGCTATGTTTGAGTTTAAAGCCCACATTCACTGTCGACCAGTGTGGCTCTCGTCCTTTCCCTGTGCTGGGAGATGACAGAAATGTGCTGTCTGGCTTCATGAGTCATCTAGAAGTCGCTGCTGTGAAACAGCTCTTTGGCAGACCACTACGGAGCCACCCAGTAGACACACGAATGTTTTCAAATAGCAGCTGACAAGACGAGATCACTGAGGGGGATGCGGATCCTTCTGGACTGTGACAATCAGGAGAAACAAAAGGCCTTATGCCAATTTCACTGTCAGCAAAAGGCCTCACGTTACTTAGAAAAGAGAAAGGAAAACTCTTAAATTCACCTAATCTGAAGAAGATAAATACCACCACGTCATCAACGAGCATTCTTACACTCAGAAGCTCTTATTATCATTTTCAGTTAGTTTAACATGTTCGTACTCACCAGCTCAGGGTCAATAATCTAATTTCACACACAAGCAACCAGCCCCAGGGATGAGAAGAGGTGCAAATTCCCCAGTGCACCGTCTGCTAACGGTGGAATAAGAGCTGGGCCGGGACCTGCGATCTTCTGCAGGGCCCAGTCTCCTCGGCCTCCTAGCTCAGGGGTCTGGCTTCTAATTTCCAAATAGGTCACACTTCAGACTCAAGATGGCAACTTTAGTTTGAGTCGGAGTTTATCATGACTTGCAATGCTCCCAGTAAGGAAAACAATGACTTCCTGTCTCCGGGTCTAAGCTTTTCCCAGTCTATGAAATTGGCAGAACTGGCCTTAGTTTTTACAAGCCATTGTAACAACAAGATGGAATGTAAAAGAAAAGAAAAAAACAATCTGAGCTCTGAATCTAGAATTCTTAACTCCAGACCCATGGGATTACTAATAACCGATGCAAATATTGCATATGGCCATTACATGTGCATCTTTCTGGATGAAGAATAGTTTTTATCAGATATCCAAAGACTCTACGGCCCACTAACGATCTGGAACCACTATGCTATGTGAGTTGCAAGTCATGCTGTTCAATGTTACATTCACCTGCTAAAGCTGTAAGTATCCTGCTTTTTTTGTCATTCCATGAAAATCAAGCCTTTATAGCTAACATACTTATATGTTTCTGTGGTTGAAAGACAAAGGGGTGAGAGGAAAAAACTCACTCTGATTGCTTATCAAGAATTCAGCTTTGTACAGAGTTTGCTCTGAATCACAAGTTCCAAATAGCAGCAGCCGTGGGTCTCAGATCCTTTCTGCTTCAGCTGGTGTTCCCTAATACTACGTATCTCATTATATTCAATTTAACCTTCAGTTTACAACAAGTCTTTCTTTCCTCAAGGAGTCCAAAGCCCCTCCCTCATATTTAATTTCTGGCAGCGGGACACATACAGATTAAAGACCCCCTTCCCCTTTTTTTACTAAAAGGATAAATGGGACCCAGAATGCTGAATTATCTACCTGATGTCCCATAGTGAGTGACGTAAGGAGGAGACAAAGGGAAGAAACCCAGCCGTTTCCCCTTCCGCAAAGCCCCAGCCTGGGGGGCAAGATGGCCCAGGTCTCAGAGCTCCTTGAGCGGCATCACGTCTCTCCTGGTCTGCCCAGCACGGACACTGCCTGGGAGGCCCAATGAGCCCTCAGGGAGTCTAGGAGGAGGAACAGTCCGGCCAGCTGCATACCCACTGCAGAACTGTGACAGCCTGGAAGATGGATGACAGACTGACATTTGGGATAGGCTGCGACGGGACCATGTCCCGCTTTCTTGGACACAAAGAAAATGACGAGTCCAAACAGGCTTCTCCTTCTTATAGTTACATCTGTACATATTTCCTTCCCTTGGTCTGTCTCCACAGTGCTCACTCGATGCTTATGTGCCCTGGCCTCGGCTTCCACCTCTGGCAGAACTCAGCCCATTCGGAAGCCCAGTACTGCTGAGACTCTCCAACCTTCCCTGATCATCTGCTTCCAGAAGTATTCTGAGAGCCTGTTCTCGGAGGGAGCTACAGTAGCTTCTGTCTAAGTTACACAATCCTAGCTCACCTCTGATCCCCATACTTCTCTGATGGGTAGAAATTTTCCCAGCCTCAGAAATTTAACTAGCAGCGCCTCACCCTGACAGAAAAAAAAGACCCCAGGTTTGCCTGGGCTGCTGTGAAGCCACCATCCCGGCAGATGGGGGTGGGGCTGCCGAGAACATCTCCACCTTTACCGGTCCTGTACCCAACATGTTAAGTTACCACAGTGGGAGGAGGAGAATCTTTTAAAATGCATTAAATTTAAGGCAGATAATTAAAGCCTAACAATAGCATGGTATGAAACAAGCAAGGTGGGCATCTCACTGAGTTTATTGTGCTCTTCCAAGAGAAAGTTCCACTTCCTGGTCTTGGCATCTGCAACAAGAAAAAACATATAAGCAAACATGACACGCTGCCTTCTGCTACATCCTCACACTTACTCATTCCCTGGTTTCGTAAACCTCCAGTAAACTCGGATGAGGTAGCTGGCACGGTGCTTGCCGTGGGGGATAAGAGAGTAAACTGAGAGTACCTGCCCATGAGGCTTTTGCAAGTTAGGAAGAGCAGGCATGGTGCCAATACTGGGTTGTAAGGCTGCTGATAAACTGTGCTCTGGAGATGCATGCCTACGGTGGCCCAGCAGGTCCAAAATACCCTGAATTTCCAAGACAGGGAATAGTAAGTGGAACTTACACATATTCAGTGCTCATTCTGAGCTGGCACGGTGCCGTGAGGCTCACACATGCTGCCTCCTCTGCTCCTCACTAAGCTCGCAGTCAGGCACTGTTTGTAGCTCCATTTTACACACGGGGAACAAGCTGTGCATGGTTGGAGTGGTCGCACAGCCTGTGTTCAACGCCCAGTCCTGCTACTTCCTAGCGCTGTGACCTGGCTGTGTGGGAAAGCCACATAACTTCTCCATGCTCAGTTCTCCCATCTGAAAAATTAGGATACTACAGCCCCTGCCTCAATGGGTTCTTATAAGGATTACTTTCCATTTAAATGTAAAATGCTTATGAAAGTATGCCTGGCAAACAATGAGCACTCAAAAAAAGCAATTATAAATTATGATTATTGTTATTGTGCCATCTGCTGATTAGCATCATGTAGCATGAAATGTACACAGCATTAACTAAGAAGGGGGAGCATCTCACTACCCCACACTGTCTGATCACTTAGGAGAGGTTTCCCTACCAATCTGCCTTCTGAGAAAATAAAAAAAAGCTTCAACTTGATAAATGCTCTTGGGACAGCAAAGGTGACTTCTCCTCCGTGTGGCCACCGAGAAAGCAGGGTGGTCTGGGGAAAAGCACCATGGGCACAGCAGGTCAGATGCGGGAGAAAGACGAGGCAGCCCGGGGGTGATGTGACACGGCCGAAGCCAGGCACCCCGTCCTGACGGTGGCTGCGCAGCAAAGGGGAGAGGACGTGAACAAGAGCTGTGGCAAAAACTCCAGCCGTGGTTTTTGGATGGCTGGGGTGTAGGTGGCACTGGGTGTCAGTATTTCAGCTGTTCATATTTCCAAACAGCAGGCTATGTGAGCATTTGTAAGTATAATATCAAAGGCTGTGCTTTTCAGAAGGGGGCAGGAGAGGCAAAGGGCCCTGGCCTTCGTGTGAGTGGCTCGTCCCATGCCTCAGGCTGCGCCCAGCCATCTCACCAGGACTCTGCTCACTGGCCGGGTCTCACCAGTTAAACAGCCAGTGTCCCCCTCCTCCCAAAGGAGTCCCAGGCCAGGGTGAAAGCTCCCCAAGAGAGTGATTCCACAGAGGCTTCTTCCCAGATGTTGCCTGACCGTGACATCTCAAAGGCGAAGGGTTTTAAGAGCTTGCTCTCTACTTGCCTAGGGAAAGGCTAAAACCATTTCAATGGGAATATTAATCCATAAAAACCACACTGTTTGGAAAACAACATGGCCCAAGCTAAATAAAACACAGGAGGTCAGAATTCTAAAGATAACTTCTGCCTCTTGGTCTCACTGGGCAGCTTTAGAAGAACCTCACAAAAAATAAAGCAAAACTGTTCAGTTTTGGCCAGTGGTTGTCAATCCTGGCTAATTTTTAGACTCTTGTGGAGATTTTTTTAAAATACCAATGCCTGGCCCACCTCAAGTGAATGAATTCAGGGTCTCTGGGTGGGAAGCAGGTGCCAGCATGCACTCTGGGGGCAGGGCCTGGAACCCGGTTTCACCACGCCCTCCGGGTGGTGCTGATGCGCGCTCAGCACTCGGGTTTGAGAACTGCTATCTTAGTCTGCAGAAAGGCACTTATTTCTAGGGTAACCATTTGTTTTCTACTCTGTTATGGACAAAATATAAACAAGTAGGTTTAAATGGCTGAAGCAGGAATTTTTCTGCTTCTACCAAGAAAGCACTGACCAGGTGACTGGGGGAAATTGTGGGGTCTTCCCTTTGAGGATAAAAGAGGCCCCCTATGTGTTTACTATCTGAACAGCTCAGGCATCACCTTTCTGTAATAAGAGGAGCAGATCGGGAAGGCTCTACAAGAAAGTCATTTCTGAGTGCTCAAACAGCGAGAAAAACGCCCTATGCAGAGATTGCAAACCACATGCATCCTGGGACTCAGAAAGAGGCCGATCACTTGCCATAATTTCTGGAATCCATCTGTTTAAACACTGCAACCAGCTCCTGTGAGTAGCCGATGTCCACCTCGAAGCGGGCCCGGGAGATGAGCAGGCACTGCCCTGTGACAAAGGCGAGCGAGGGAGCCGGAGGCAGGCCGGTGGGAGCCAGGCTGCCGGCCCCCTCCAGAGGCTGCAGGGTGACCGTGGGGAGGTGCTGCACCGCCTTCACTGCCAAAGAGGAAGAGAACAGAGGTCACAAGGTGGATGATCTCCTGTGGTCCCTGGATGCTCTGGCGGGCAGAGGTGCAGGGCAGAGGAAGGGTCACGGGAACAGTGCGTGGGAGGCAGGCGAGAAAAGGCACTGCTGGCCAGGGAGGCTCTGCACGGTGCTTTCGCTGAGGCTCTGGAAAGTTCAGTACTTACTGAACATAGCTCTTCTGCTCCTTAAATTTTCAAATTAAAACACTTGGATGTTTGAAATTAACAGGAGGAAGAGGGGTCTCACCAGAGTAGCAAGTGTGTTCCCTAGTTTCTGTTGCTGAAGCCAACACACCAGGAACCTCCCACTGGACCCTGCTCTGCTTGGCAGCAGTTCTGAGCCTGATTTTTTCTTAGTGATATACTTTATAGATGAACAGATTTGACTACGTACAACTGAACCGTCAAAAAACACAAACTAAGTTCAAAGGCAAAACTATTGAGTAAAGATACTTGTAAGAAAGATGAACAGAGCTCACACTTGAAAAATACCAAGACCACAAATGACAGAGATGGAATCAATTGAAAAGGGGGCAGGGTGGGGAATGACTAACAAAATGTATGAAAAAATGTTCACAAATAATCAGAGAAATAAAAGGCCATTTCTTTACTGATAAAACTTGCAAAATTAAAAAAAATAAACAAACAGGTATCTACATTGCCAGTTGGGAATAAAACCCTCTGAAAAACAAATGATTCAACTTCTAGGAATCTCTCCCCAATACAAAAATTTATGGAAAAGGTGTTTCTTACAGCTTTAATACTGAAAAAAACTGGGAGCAAATTAAAACAGACAAAAAGTAAATCATTTAAGCAATTTATGACACACTCATAAAATGGAATATCATATAACCAACAATTGTTTTTTGGAAGACATTTTGGAAAAGACAAACAAACCAAAAGAATATTAAGTTCAATAGTATAGAATCATTTTGGGGGAAGTCAAAGGGGTCCAACAATGGGCACCCACACTTCCATCACTCAGAGTCAACTGTTAACATTAAAGTGAAAACTGCAAGATAAAAACTACATTACATATATAAACATTTGTGTGCTTTAATGCTGTAAAAATGCTGGAAGGAAAAAACCCAAAATGTTCCCAGTGGTTAAACGAACGCAGAGTTTGTGGGGATAGTTTCCTCTGTACACGCTGGTGTCCTTTCCATATGTCCTATGAGGAGTGTGTGGTCGAGTTAAAAAGGCAAAACCCGAGGCAGACCCAGGGCAAAGCGACAGAAGGACGGACAGAGACAGCCTCTATACGTTATATCAACGAAAAGTGTGTCCTGCTACGAAGACACAGGATCATGAACCTATCTCAAAAGGCAAAAATAAGAATGCACAAACCCATAATCGTTGCAAGAGTGTCCAAGGTAGGTATAACGTGGCGGATGGCAGATCAAGTGTGCAAAACACTGGTAAGGACACAGAAGAGCTACACAACTCAGAATCAGTAAAATTCACCTAAAAGCTATGTGCAGCCCTGACCAGCGTGGCTCACGTGGTTGGGTGACATGCTGCAAAGCAAAGGGTCGCCAGTTCAATTCCCAGTCAGGGCAGATGCCTGGGTTGCAGAATTGGTTAGGGCGCACACCACAGGCAACCAATCAATGTTTCTCTCCCTCTCTTTCTCCCCTCTTCCCTTCTCCCTAAAAATAAATAAACAAAATCTTTTTTAAAAATTAAATACAACAAAAATAAAAGCTATGTACAGACTTCTGTACCCATCAAATGGTTTTTAAAAACATGTGGAGCATTACCAAAACCAATCATACCACACAGAAAACCTAAATGAATTTGAAACACAGAAGTCATTCAGGTCACCATGTACTGTGGCCGGAGAACAGAGTTAAAAAGACAGTAAAACAAACGACATCAGGACCGTGGGAGCCACTGGTTTAATCTGAGCCACCATGAGAACAACACCAAGGGTCAAGACCTGCACCCTTAACTTAGGGCACCGGTTCTCCCCCTCCTAACACCTACAAACAGATTAAAGGAATAGTAAAATGAGCCCCCAAAAGGTCACCACAGCTATCAGAGAAAAGCAGGGGAGGCCAAGGAGAGAAATAGGAACTTCTGCGGGGAGCGGTCCCATCACCCCCCAGAAACTGCACCAGAGAATTCTGCGCCAGGCCCCACATTTGTGGACGAGTGAGCTCACCGTGCATCTTCATCTTTTCCCTTTTTGAACTGGGGGGGGAAGGGAGAGTGGAGAAGGGACAGAAATGGCTATTGGGAGATGTGAGAACACCCAGGGCAGAGGAGCAGACTTCAGGTGCCGGAAGGTGACAAAAACCTTGGGCAGGGACAGTCATCAGAATCCCAAAAGTGGTGCATGCACCCAAGGGCCCCGACAACAACGTGACCCGGCCTCCCCAGACCGGGCCTTGGCTGGCGCCTGCCTGGCAATGCCCCTCCCTGCACTCTCGAGTTAGCTATGAGGATTTGGGTTGTTTGCGGAACTGTAACCTTCCTGGGAGCAGGGGCCAGCACAGCTGCCTGCCATGGCTGGAGCCAGCAGTCCAGTGGGAACACGCGGCCTGAAGTCAGACAGTCTGGGTTTGAATCCCAGTCGCACAACATACTGGTTGTGCAACCTACCCTTGCTGGGCCTCGGTGGTCCCATCTGTAAGATGGATGTTATAAGGAGTAAGAGTTAGGACCTGTGAGGGGCTTAGTACAGCCTGGAACACAGCAGGCTCCATTAATGCTAGCTTTTGTTAAAATACCAGTGACTGTCACCCAAGGAGCTGCCTCGCTAGGTTGGCCGTGCTCACCATGGTTGAGCCAGACCACATCTGTAGCTCCAGAGAAACTTTTCAACACCAGTGTTTACAGCCTGAGGGGTGACAACATAACTACTTACTCAGGGCACTATAGTCCGTCATGCTGAAGTTCCACATCTTGGTGTTAGGATCTGAAATGAAACACAAATACTTGGTCTGTCCACACACAATGAGGCTGAAGACTGTTGTTATAATTTGCTCTTGGACATGCAATAAAAAGCTTATTGAATGAATGAATGCATGGATGAATGGATGCACACCAAATTCAAAACAGTTGGCTGAACAAGCCCCCACTGACTTATAAAATTCTTGTAAAAGACAAAGAGCAAATATAAATAAGGATAATGCTTTTTATTCTATATTGAGAAATGCAAGTCAGCCTCTGGGATGTTATGGGCCTCACCTGACAGAGCTGAGGGCAGAGGTGGAGCCCTGTGTAGTCCCTGGAAGCTCAGGTGTGCCCCCGAGGCATGGTAGAGCTAGCCACACCCCAGCTCTGCCCTGCACACAGACCACCCTGAGCACGTGCAGACTGCGGAGCCAGCTCCACTGCCCTTAAAATAACATCTAGTTCTCTCGAAAAACTGTTGTTAGGCTCAAGTGCTACAGTGCATACAAAGCACCTGGCAGAGGAGCCGGCCTCTCAGTAAACATTCCTCCGTTCTCCATATGGCCATGTGGCGGCCTCCAATTTTGGCAGCTGTTTGGAGGAATGTCTGTGACAAAAAGAAACATGAGCAAAAATAGAAAAATTTTAACAACTGTATGGAGAGAATGTGCCAATGTACCCTCTTCATATTTATGAGAAACTGCTAGATTAAAAGAGACCCTAAAATAGAAAAAAAAACATCTGGAGAGCTAGACTAAATGAAGACTCATTACCGAATTTTCTGCTGGGCAGACGCTTGAACACAGCAACGAGCTCCGCATTGTACCCAATCTTCACCTGGAAACGGTCTCCATCCCTTACGCACGTTCCCTCCTGGGAGTGTACTGCTTTGTGGGGTGAGGGCCCCGAGTTCTGTTGGAGTCTTCCTTCTGTTCTGGGCATCACACTCCCTGGGCTACAACGGACATCAGAAACATTCTGCTCTGAGGTGGAGGGTCTGGCTGTCTTGGCCTCTGATTCAGGATCCCTGGGAAGATGTCCAGAAGAAGAAGCTGGAGTATCCTGGGAACTCTTTGCTTTAGCTGAAGGCTCATGAGCTGTGTTAGCAAAAGGTGTTGACTTGGTCCCATGTGAAATCTGAGGGCGACCTTGACCTGACTCATAGCCCAAGAGTTGCTGGCCGGAAACCTCTGGAAGACTTTGTGCCAAAGGAGGGGAGATCCCAGTGAGAGTCATCTGACTTGGAGGGCTGTGGTGTAGGCAGGCGGTGGGCATCTCTTCGTGCCTCTTACATGACCCCTTTGCCTGCTCCAAAGTGCTGAGATGAAAACTGTGGGTATTATGAGGTCTTTGGTCACCATGAGATGAATTATTAGTTTTTTGTTGCTTGAAAATGACACCATGGCTCACCAGCTTAGAAGAGTCTCTGGGGAGATGGCAAGAAGGACCCTGCTGGCACTCGGAAGGACCCGAAGCGATAGAGGAGCCCAAGCCTACACTCTGATGCTGTTCTGCTAATTTCTCAGCTCTACGGGCCAGAGCCTTTTGTCGATTCTCCTCAATCTTTTTCTTCTGCTCCTCTGTAAGAGGCAAGGACATTTTAACAGGAAAATGCTTATGCAGGCACGTCAATCTTTAATTAGAAACGTGGCAAAAGCTGAGAAATTAAAAAAAATGGAAATAAACATGAAATACATTTATTTATCATGTGTCCACCTTGATTTTAACAAGCTTTAGTCCCAGGAAATGCACAAGCACAAGAAAGAATATGTAACAGTTTCTTTTATAATTAAAACACACACACAGGAATACTAGGTAGCAGAAGCTAGAACAATGATCCTGACAAACGAGCAAAAAGCCAGATCAAGTCCAAAGCTGAAGTGGTATTTCAGCTGCATTATTTTTCTCCCTCTCATCCCCCAGCCAGCGTGAGTTATCAGATCCCAAGGAAGTTATGCAGGGCAACCTAAATCTACCAGATAGCCTTGGCTGGTGCGGCTCAGTGGATTGAGTGCCCACCTGTGGGACTGGAGTGTTGCCAGTTTAATCCCTAATCAGGACACATGCCTGGGTTGTGGGCTGGGTCCCCAGTGGGGGGCATAGGAGAGGCAACACTTGATATTTCTCCCCCTCTTTCTTCCTCCCTTCCCCTTTCTCTAAAATTAGTAAATACAATCTTTTAAAAAAAATAAATCTACCAGATAATGAGAAGAACAATCCAGACTAGAAAGGGTAATGGATTAGGCTGACATAGACCAAAACAACCACATACCATGGCGTGATGCTTGCTAACACAGACTCTTTCCAACCTGGAAGAAAAAAAAAGCATTAGCCTCACATAGGCTACACACTAAATCCACACCTCGAATTCAATCCTCTTAGGACTCTTGGCAAATCGATCTACAGGTGGCCAGATGCAAGCCACAGAGTAGACGGCCTCAGTGCCTGCCTTCCAAAATGTACCACCTCAGAGCAACCCAGTAACTCTTCTTGAAAAAACAAGGGGAAAAAAAGTAACACATGCTCATTGTACAAATTCAGATGTAAAGAGTAAAATTAATCTGTAATTTCACCATCTATCAATAACTACTGTTCATAGTTAAGAGTACAGCGTAGTTCTGATATTTTTCTATCTACGGCCATAGACACATGCCACATTATGGGAGATATGTGTTTATTACAAAATAGGGTCATTATGTACAGTCCGTTTTGTACCCTGATGACTTTTTTTTAAATTAAGCCATTTTTCTAAGAGCTGAGCCACTTCCACAATATTCTGCAACCAGGGAGCTGGACACCAATTTCTCTGGTTTGGTTTCATCTAAATAGCCCCCACCTAATCTAATGGTATGTAATGCTTATTACACTGGGACACTCTGATGGCCCTGTTTAAGCCTCTGAGAGTTCAAAGGTTTCCTTGCTGCTGGGATTCTCTTGGGCCAGAACCCCAAACAACATCTATCCCCAGATACCTTCCACCTCCACCCACCAATAGGAAAGGGCTAGGCAAGGCTACGTTCGCAGACACAGCTGAAGCCCCCAGGCCCCCAGAGTAACTTGCCAACACTTCTGCTAACTTTCCAACTAGGGCTCTCTTGCACTACCGCACCTTCCTCGTCCAAGGTCCTAGTTGCCAACTTTCTCCACGAGCAAGGGTTGGCAAGGCCACAGAGTTAAGTCCTACTATCAGCCCCAAACCATAAAACCATCACACCGTATGAACACCCCTCTTCCTCTCCATCAGAGACATTCTAAAATCCTAATTTGGGGGGCGCGCCTCACTTTCGTCCGTTGGTAAAGAGTCTCACCCACTTCCACCCCTACTAACTCCCTTGGACTCACCCTTCCCCTTGAACAACTCCCTCCTCGAAGCTGGCGCTTGGTCTCGTCCGCCAACACCGCTTTTTTCCCCGTCTCCCTTCTCACTCGGAAAGGCCTAGTGCGCAAGCTACGTTCACCGTGGACCCCGAGCCCAGACGCTCTCGAAACTCTTTTCGTGCCAGATCACGCTTCCGAATGGGCGGTTAAGACCCGGCATTCGAGGGCTACCAGTTCGCCCGTCTTGTTGCGCCCGGGCCTGAAAGGGGAAGGATGCTTAACACATTTCCCAGCAGGCAACAGGGGCGCAGCTAAGCTTCAAAAAGTCGAGACTCCGATACTCGAGCAGTGCTGCAAGGTCTTCCGGGATTTGTAGTTTGGTACGAAAGCTACCAAACTACAGGATGGGGGGTGGGGGGGGAGACTCGACGTCCTGGGCGGGGGGGGGGGGCTGGAGTGGTGCACCCTGGGAGTTGTAGTCTTCGGCTTCTCCAAAGGTTAAGCCAAGCACTGGATCGTAAAGACGTTCGACGTTGAGATTTTCAGAGCTGGAGTCTCGCTGTCTGAACGGTCTCCAGAGGGCATCCCAGATGAAATTGTGTGGTAGCTCTTAATAAAAAGTAATCCCCTGGGGCGTTCTTCCTGGTATTGATAACCTTGCAATTTAAGCCCCACCCACTATCTCATCCTCGACCAAAGGAGAATTAGCATCATCATTATCATCATCGTATCATCACGGGGCTTTGTGCTGAGATTTTAATGTGAATTAACTTATTTAATCTTCACCATAATCTTACTGAACACATATTCGAATCTCCATTTTACAGAGGAGAAGACTGAGAGAGCTGTTCGGATTTGTGATGCGGGTTCTGAAGCCCCGCCCCCTGCTCTTGAGAGAAAATGAATTTGCTGACGCTATCAGAGTCAGTTAACTCCGTTTCTGAGCCCCGGCACCCTTTTCCTTAACACAGTCAACTCCACCTTACACACTGGGGGTGAATATAATATTCTCCTCGCATCAGTATGCACATGAATATTGCTGTTCTGTTTTCAAACATTGCTCATCTTGAAGGGGAAGATCTTAAGAACTTTGGGAAATGTCCAGAACAAAATCACAGCGATGTAAATAGTTTGATCCATTAAAATTTTTTCGTACCTGTAAATGCATGTAAAATCAGAAAAAGGAATTTCAAAAACCCACCACACTCTTCGGGACCAGGAGTAGGATGAGACACACTTTTCTACTTTTTAATATATTTTTCTGAGTTCTTTGAATTTTCTTAAAATAATCATATAGATCTTGTGTAAATTTTGAAACAGTAGATCTTTTTTAAACAAAGATATTAACCTGTTTTACCAGTCTTGAATGATGTTTAGTATTAGAAAGTGTTCAAATCTCAGCACTGTGGTTTTATTGGCCACACAAACACAGTCACTGTTATTCCATTTTCTCATCTGAAAAGTAAAATAGAAAACAGTACCATCTTGCTAAATCTCTTTGTTGTGGTGAGGATCAAAGCAAGATACAATAATATGAGAGAAGTGCTTAGTGAGCTGTGAAATCTCAGAACAGATGGGAGAGGGATGTTGCTATTATTTGAGGCGAATCACAGGTCTTTTCATTTGTCTCCATCCGTCACCCACTTCCTACTGTATAATGTGAACAGAAACGGATGAACACCTTTCCCTGCCCCTCCCGACTCCCACAGAGTCAGTTAATTTGTAGAGAAAGCTGGTGCTGTGTACTTCACACATGCCTGCCACCAATTCATGACAGTCACTTCACTCGCTTTTGCTCAGTCGTCTCACCTATTAAATTATATACCACCCTTTGATATATGGTAAGAGGGCATATGGGCACCCTAGAGTTCCTATAGATTCATGGATCGTATCCCTCGAATCCTAGTTGGGTATGTGTGAAATTGCACTTTCTCAGAGATGTGATTATCTTCCCAGCAATAACATTCTAAAATTCTAAGAATGGGAAATTAAAGTAAGAATTCAATTATCATCATCTTGAGAGAATTAAACTAATTAGATACCACTTAATATACATCACTGCTTTGTCAATAGCATCCTTTATTAAGGTCTTACCACATATAAGCCTTTTAAAAAATTCCTATACTTCTGAAGTTCTTGAGGCAACTTACAGTGAAAGTTTATTTACGAAAAGGTTTATACCCTGGCCCGGTAGCCCAGTTGGTTAGAACAGCTTGATATGCCAAGGTTGTGGGTTCAATCACTAGTCAGGGCACCTACAAGAAACAACCAATGCATAAATAAGTGGAACAACAAACCAAGGTCTTTCTCTCTCTCCCTTGCTCTCTCTCTAAAAATCAATAAATAAAACATTTAAAAAATATTTAGCCCTGGCTGGTGTAGCTCAGTGGATTGAACGCTGGCCTGTGAACCAAAGGATCTTGGTTCGATTCCCAGTCAGGGCACAGGCCTGGGTTGCAGGCCAGTTCCCAGCAGGGGACACACGAGAGGCAACCATACATTGATATTTCTCTCCCTCTCTCCTTCCGTTCCCCTCTAAAGATAAGTAAATAAAATCTTTAAAAGATATTTAAAGGCCTGGAGGAAAGCACAAGAGCCAAGGAGTCCAGGGAGAGAAAAAGATAGTCGGAGCATGTGAGCTCCAATTTAACTCAGAGCTTCCTGGCAGCTAAAGCAAAAAAGCAAAAAACACGGGCAAGGCCTTCAAATAAGTACCACACAGCTGAAGCTCTCGAACACAGGTCCACTGGGCGGTGCCAAAAGGCTTCAGAGCTTCACCTGCTTGCCTCTGAAACACACAAACAAAACGACAATGTGATGAGTGTCTTGTAAAAATTTAAAATAACTTATTAAATTTATATAAATTATAACTATATCATTATATATAATTATATAAAATGACTTGAGAAGTCATCTCATAGTTTTTCATGTTTAACTGGCTTTTCTTTAGCAAAGTGATGAGGGTTATAAATGCCTTCATTTATCAAAATGAAAAGTTGTTTTTCCCTCCAAAAAATCCAATAATGTTTAGTCTATGAATCCAAAAATCAGGGAGACACAATTGCAAGGGATTCCAGAGATGGCTAAGATCCAGTTCCTGTTCCTTCAAAAGGTCATAGTATTTGGAAGACAGAGACAAGTAGCTAACATTGTTAGAGTTAGCAAATGTCCCAAATATTGCATGGCACATGTTTATCCTAAAAAAGTATTTGTTGTTTTCTCTGAAATTCAAATTTAACTGGGTGTCCTCTATATTTTTCTGCCAACCATAAAAATAGTTCGCTTCTACTATCAGTGGCTCAGGACCTAGCTGAGCAGCAAACAAATCTACATTGCTAGACAGATGATTCACAGATATACTGATACATCGAATTTTAAAGCAAAAAGAGACTTTAGGGCCTATCTGGTCCCACGGGTGAGGCAATAGAGGCCAAATCAGCTGCTAGTCCGTATACCACTACTATGTGTTATAAAAACCCTGAGAAGTTAGCAGTGCCCCAGGTCACAGACCAGGCAGAGGTCAGGCTGAAAGAGGGAACCGCAGTCCCAATAGCAGCTCCTTCTGGACACTGATTAAACAGACAAATAGTTATTGCAGGCTTGCTTTGACTGATGGTATGTCCGGGATTTCATGCCCTTCTCCTTGGAGCTCACATTTGAGCGATGTAGATGCGAAGCTTCCCTCTTTCCATTTCTGATTCCCCAGAGAGGGCTTGGCAGGCCTTTCAGGAGGGAGATTTGACAGTCACTTCAAGGACATGTCATCACTCAGGTTAATTACACCTGGAGCACTGTGATCAGATTGGGGAGCAGATGCAAGACTTTGGGTGGAAAAGGAGGCTGTTCCCTCCTTGGCACTGTCAGTCGGCAAGTGCCGTTTGCATATCCAAAGCACAGAGGAGCAATGAGAAGGTTTATAAGCCAAGAAATTCACCTTCCTGAGTGCTTGTTCCATTCTGATGGACTTAATGGCTTTGAGTCTGACAGTTCAGTTTTTCTCCTCCCCCCCCCTTCATCTGCCTAGTCTAGCCTTCCTCCCCTATAAGGCAGAAACTCCAGTATCATTTCTACATGGTGCATTTCAGAAATCAGTGTAAGGTTTCCCCAAGTGTCTTAATTTCTCAAACTGTGTGGTCTTGTTGGCTGTGATTACTTCACAAGCTCTCTCAAATCTGGCACATTTTCTGCTAAGGTGGCTTGTACATCCTTTGCCAAAAGCATTCCCTTTGATGCCTTGCTCCTGTTTTCTTAGGCGTATAATTTTTTACTTTTTCTATTCTTCCAATAAGTCAATTCCACTTGGTTTGTCCATTCACATATATATTCATTTAACAACAATCCAAGGATCTGCTTGGCACAGTATGTGGGCCACATACTGTGCCAAGGCACTGGGGTTGCAACAGTAACTAAGAACCCAGAGATGTTGTTACCCTTTCTTCATAAAGCTTACAGTCTAATTGGAGCCAGATAAGCTAAATAACGTAAATAGAGGGCCCAAATAGAGCCTAAAGAGGGAACTATTTCAGAGTGGTCAGAAATGGCCTCCTGAAGGGAAAGCATTGAAACTGAGACCTGAACTGGGAGAGGAGGCAGCCACACAGCCGTCCTGCGGAGGAGGGTTTTCAACCAGAGGTAAAGATAGCACACTGCACCCAGGCGGGAAAGACCTGGGTGTGTTTGAAGAACTGGAAGAAGGCCAGTGTGGCTGCAGGATGGTTGAGGGGAGGAGGGGGACATAAGGTGAGACTGGAGAAGCAAGGAGGACAGATAATTTCAGGGCCCTGCAGGCCATGAGAAGAAGTTTGGGTTTTGTTCCGAGAGCAGTGAGGAACCCCTGCATGGCTTTGCGCTGGAAAGACACAGTGTGCTCTCACGTGTGTCTTTCTTAAGAAGACTGCTACTGTTGCTGAGTGGAGCCTGCTTTGGACAAAGGCAAGCAGACCAATAGGAAGGCCTTGGGAGAAGCCGTGACAGGAGTCTGAAGAAGAACTGGGTGGTGGCCTGTCTAGGTGGTTGCTTTGGAAAGCTGCCTGGAGGGGAGACGCCAGACCTCCTTCTCAGAGAGCCGAGCTGTCTGAGCCCAGCGCGCCTGCGCATGCTCACACTCAGAGCCCCATTGCGATAGACCTGAAGTTTGCTTGGAGAGTTGGGGTAGTAAACTGATTTTTCTTATGAACTACTAATCTTTTTCTGCACACTAGGCAGCTTCTTTACAGGAGTATGAGTTGGACCAATTATGTTCTTTCATAATTGTTCATGGAAAATAGGGGGAAAGAATTGCTCAGTAGAGTATTCAAGGATATAAGGTATTTTGTCATGTA